AGGCACTGTTGGGCAGAATACAAACGAACTGATAACAACGGCGTGTGCAGGCAACACAAACGTATAAGGACCAGACCAATCTTGGGGATGAATTTGTCTCCGATCCGAAAAACTTGTTCCATTACACAGCCTTTCTTCGATAAGCCAAAACTGGAGTTTCTCAACTGCTAGGTCATAATGACCCAACCAACGACTATCGGACATTCCAACCGACCCATATCAACTATACTGATGAAAGCCTCGTCCTCCACTGCACAGAACTTTCCGAAGTGAACCTGAGCGCCGACCTGGTGTTCTGCAGACTGCAGCACCTAAGAAAAAACGGTTCTCCTGGCTCGTATATGGTTCATACTGCTATGCTGATGGAAGAAGCTTCAATCCTGGCAACACCGTTCAGCGTGGTGTTCTTGCACTCACTACGCCAAGGCATATTACTGGAAATTTGGAAGCTGGCCGACACTAAATCAATTTTTAAAGGAGGTTTACTTAGCGGACCCTCAAGTTACCAACCAGTGGCACTTCTCTGTATACCTTCAAAAATCATGGAGTCCATGATATGAGATGGTATACACGACTACTCATTATTCTTAAACTTCTTTTCATCTCAACAACACGGCTTCAGGAAGGGTCATTCTTGTATAACCAACGTGCTAGCTGCGGTGGACATATGGACAGCCGTTCCCGAACGCAAAGGGAAAGTTGAGGTCATTTGCCTTGATTTCTTAAAAGCTTTTGATAGGGTCAACCATATATGTCTTATTCATAAACTCAAACGGTTGGGCATCAAATCATCTCTAAAAAATCGACATTTTAAGGTCAGGATTAACTTCAATTTCGTTAAGGCTCGGAATGTCCTGATGGGGTTCCCCAGGGTTCGGTACCAGGACCTCTTTTTTCCACAACAGGTATCGTCTGATTTATTACTTGCTGGTGATGTGAAACTTTGGAGAGGAATACTCAACTAAGGGAATAAAGCGGCACTTCAAGAGGATCTGACTAGACTTCAAAGTTTGGCAGACACAACGGATTTATCCTGGATACTTCAAAGTGTAAAGTAGTCCATCTGAGACATGTTGCAGACTACAGTTACAACTCAGGAAAATCCTCTCTAGAAGTATCCCAAGTTGAATAAGATTTAGGAGTGTCAGTACCCTAAGATTTGAAGTCTTATGCCAAACGTGACAAAAAGGCCTTTCGACCAAACCTTGCATTGGCAACACTGAAGCGCATTTTTGGTCAGTTTGATGGAAGAACTTTCCACATAATCTTCAACAGTTTTGTTCGTCCTTATTTAGAGTAAGGAAACATAGTATTTACTCCCTCACTCCAGAAGGATAAGGACACACTGGAGCGTGTCCAGCGGTGGACCACGAGATCAGGCCGGGGACTGAAATTCAAGTCTTATGAAGAGATCCTCCAATCACTCAACCTTTACCCATTATGAGCATAGGCGTCTTAGAGGTGACCTGTTGGCTTACAGTATCCTTAACACTTCTGGACATCCTATTAAAATCCTGCTTAAGTTTAGATCTAACACAAACCTAGAGAGAAACACCCAGAAACTGGAGACCCAACATAGCAGAAAGAACGGTAGACACAACTTCTACTCCTTAAGTGTTGTCCAATGCTGAATTTCGCTACCGACTGATCTAGTTCAAGCAGCTTCGAAGGATTCCTTTAGGAGGAAATCTGGCATATTCTGAAGCACTAAGGATAATATCTTACTATGATTTATCAATTTCTTTCTCATCTTTTTATCAAAATATACCTAGACGCTGGCGAAAAAGACCTGAAAATTGTAAATTTTCGGGTTGTGAGGCTTCGACAGAGGATGATGCCGAAGCCACTCTGGGTGAAGCACGAGGCCACCTAAATAGGCTTCGGATCTGTTATACCAGCGCCCATAGCTTACTAAATAAGCTACCGGAACTAGGTGTACAGATTGACTCAACTAGGCCAGACATAATCGCAGTCACAGAAACATGGCTGACGCCGTCTATAGATAGTAGGGAACTTGATTTCGAGGGTTTTACATTAGTAAGGGCCGATAGAATACAAACGCGTAAAGGAGGGGGAGTAGCACTATTCATTAGGAATGCTATTCCATTCACCATTATCGACAGTGTATCCCATGAGAGTGGGACGTATGAATTAGTTTGCTGCCGCCTGAAATGCAGGGGACAAGAGTTGCTGCTTAGTTTGATCTATCGCAGTCCAAGCTGTGAGGCAAACGAGGTCCTGCTAAGCAGTCTCAACACTTTATCACGAAGTGATCGATGTCTAATCCTAGGGGACTTCAATGCACCCATGGTGGACTGGGGAAATCTGCGGACTGAATCGTCAGCAAACTCCTTCGAACAGGAACTAGTTGATGCGATAATCACATGTGCTCTAGTGCAACACGTGAAGGAAGCAACTAGGTACGACCGGGTTCTGCATCATCCTTACTAGATCTTATATTGACTCATTATGAGGATGAAGTTGCAAACCTGGATTACATGCCACCCCTAGGCTAAAGTGATCATGCAGTTTTAAGCTTTGACTTCCATATAACTGTCGATCACGAGTACGCTTCAGCTCAATTCAGACCTAACGTCTGGAAAGCAAACATAGCAGACATCATGAAATCAGCATCATTAGTAGATTGGAAATTAGATCCAGAGTCATCAATCGAAACGGCTTGGGACGTATTCCGGAATTTATACTTAAAAGTTACCACCCCCCACATCCCTTGGACTACACCTAAGAGACCGAGAAACTCCCCACCGTGGTTCAGTAGGGAGGTTCGCATCCTTCTCCGTAAAAGAAGGAAAATGTGGGACAGATTTAGGTTACTGGGGACTGACGAGGCGAAATATCAGTATCAAAAGGCTCGAAATACCTGTGCCTCGACCCTCCGTAAGGCCAGAAAGCTGTACGAAGAGAAAATCGTTAGGGAATCCATAGAATGCCCTAAACGCTTGTATTCGTATATAAACCAAAGGACAAAAAGAAGAAGAAATATTCCTTCATTATGGGGAGACAGTACTGCCACATCACTAGTGGAGGATGACTTTGGCAAAGCTCAAGTATTCTTTAAATACTTTAGCGATGTATGCACCATAGAAACACCCTTCTCACCAGTCCATGAAAATCCACCCACACAAGCACTGGACAGCGTAATCATTAAAGAACTCGATGTCTTTGGTCTGCTAGTTAAGCTTGACATAGGTAAATCCACTGGACCAGATGAACTGCATCCTAGGTTATTAAAGGAATTAGCTAACTTTGTTGCGAACCCTTTAAGTGTATGTTTTAATCTATCCGTAACCCAGGGTCGTCTACCAAAAGACTGGAAGAACGCCATAGTAAGTCCAGTCTTCAAAACAGGTACAAAACATAAGCCTGAGAATTACCGACCAATTTGCCTAACTAGTGTGGTTGTTAAAATCTTAGAAAAGATTATTCGGAAGGAACTGTTAAAGTATCTCGATGAAAACCGGATCCTCTCCGAAAAGCAGCATGGTTTTTGAACAGGTTACTCTTGTCTCACAAACTTATTAGTCGCTCGTGAAAGCTGGTGCGCTCTTAAGGACCAAAAATTACCTATAGACGTAGCTTACATCGATTTCAGCAAAGCTTTCGACAAAGTTCCGCATAACCGGCTGTTATATAAGCTAAGGAATGTCGGGATTAGAGGCAATCTATTGATGTGGATAACAGACTTCCTAGTTGGGAGTCAATAAAGAGTAAGGGTGAACTCCAAGTTGTCTAGCTGGGAAACTGTGCTTAGTGGAGTCCCCCAGGGTGCAGTTTTGGGGCCAGTGTTATTCCTCCTGTACGTAAATGATCTCTCTCGTCTACTATCGTCATCGGTCTTACTCTATGCTGATGATGTCAGGATATGGAGAGCGATACAAAGCAAGGGCGATAGCTTAGAACTTCAAAATGACCTGGAGAGATTATCTGAATGGTCCCAAACCTGGCAATTGCCGATAAACACTTCCAAGTGTATTGTGATGCATATTGGCCATCAGGGTACAGATACATACACGATGAATAACACTGAGTTACCTATTGTTCAGGCACACAACGACTTAGGCGTCATCGTCAGTCAAGACTTAAAGACTACTGCACACTGCCGTGCAATAGCCGCCAAAGGTTTTAGGACTTTATGGTCCATACGCAGGGCTTTTAGGCATCTTGACGCTAAAACGTTTTTGACTTTGTATACAGTGTTCGTACGCCCTAAACTTGAGTACTGTATACAAGCAGCTAACCCCTGCCTAAAAAAAGACAGTGAACTCTTGGAAAGGGTTCAGAGAACAGCAACTAGGCTGATTCCCGGAATAGCGAAGCTACCGTATGGTACTAGACTGACCAAGCTAAACCTATTCCCGCTGTCATATAGAAGAATCAGAGGTGACTTGATTATAGTTTTCAAATTGCTAAATGACAAATTTGCACCTGATATGCCCTCATTTTTCTTGTCTTCCAAAACAGAAAATCTACGAGGACACTCCAAAAAAGTTCACAAGCTCAGAACGAATTACTTGTCAGCTGACTACCGACTTTCCCATCGAATAATCAACGAGTGGAATTCATTACCTCAGCACGTGGTTGAGGCTCCATCCGTCGACTCCTTCAAAAGAAAGTTGGATCAGCTGAGAGACCATCATTGCCAGGACTAACACAGGCCATCAAGCCTCCTGTCCTTTCCAAACTGAAACTGAAACTGATTTCTGACTGGAGATATTGGTGATCCACTGCTACCAGACACGAAAGCCCGTTAAGCAAAAGCTTCTTCTATTCTGTCCAAAATAATCTGAACCTGGAGTTATAAGCATAATTATGGGTTGGACTTTGCTGACGATAAGTTGGCTTTGTTTAAATGAACCACTCGGAAAACTAGGTTCCATGTCCTTTTATCGTAATGGGTTGTCGTGGTATATTTGGTCGGTTTTTTCTGCTTTTCCTCATACAAGTGGGTTGGTCCTCTGGACATTTGCTATCCTCAAATAATGGCCGACCTGCCGATTTATGTGTTTACCGGACCTTCTGGGGCTGGTAAAAGCACGTTACTACAAATTTTGTTGGAGAAGTTTCCCAATAGTTTTGGCTTCAGTGTATCTCATACAACGCGAAAACCACGCCCAGGGGAAAGAGATGGAGTAGATTATCACTTTACCGACAGAGATACGTTTTTGAATGAGGTTTCTCAAAGGAAATTTCTCGAGTATGCAGAATTTGCTGGGAACTTTTATGGAACATCAAGAGTAGCTGTAGAATCAGTAAGTGACTTTTCATACCATGATTTTTATCTCTATCATTATTAATCAGAATAAGCGTTTGTTGTAACAGTTTATGTCATTCCGGATAATGCCCTCTTTAGGATATATTACGACTTGTGGAAGCCGTAGAGTTAAAGCGTTTATCCAATCGAACAGCAATGCTGTCAAGTTCTAACATATTCTATTTCTCCTCATCTACATACCTAAATTATGTAAGGTGTAGAGTTCGCGATTCAAAAATTGTTCCCAAGTTATCTGAAAGTGGAAACAACATTATTCATGGTGGGAAGCCTTCAAAATAATAGTTAGTCATTCCTATGTTGAGACTCTAACCTGATTGAATAAAAATTGCACGCGTTGATTCAGTATGTGTTGGCTCATTAAAACCGACTAAAACTAAAATGTTGGATCTCATAGAATTCCATCTAATTTGTCATTGTTATCTAAGAGTTAGGTAGTACTTCGTTAAATTTAATTTATTTCTCATCGTGTCAATTTTTATGCATTACGTTGGTCAGTGACTTAGACTTAATGTTTGTTCTGTCAACTAAGCCTTAGGCTGTCTTTTGATTAACTTGGCTGTTGAGAATGCAGTGTTTAGAAGCATGAGTTTCTAATTATATCACACTAGACGATAAACACATACTTTTAATATGCTAGTGCACCGTTGTTAGTTTCCCTGGAAATGTCGGCCAATCAAAGCATACACTGTCTAGTAAGAATCAAAACAAATATCTGCTTTCGCCCAATTTTTAGGACATGGCTGCGCTTCCGTGAAACTTATTTAATTTGTAAACTACATTTTTTGACGATTGAAAACGTGCTTTCACTCATATTCTTTATTCACGATCAAGTATACGCATGTGATTTCCATTGATATTGTCGATGTTTTGTAGGAAACCGTTCTTTGCAAAACATTCCTCAAAAAATAGATGCATTGACTTATTTGCTACCTTTTAATCAGTCGGTATTTTTTATTAAATTAATCTAAGTCTGTCAGCATTCCAATGGTTATACTCCTAAAATTTACTTCACGCATTATCTGTAACCTGAAGTGTGTGAGTTCTGTCTTTCCCTAGATATCTTCGAAGCGTTGTTAGATTATCACGGAACGACTTAGTGAGCAATGTTGAAGTTGAGTACAGGGTACTAGACAAAGGTAGAAAGTCGGTCGAAGTTGTGAATCTTCAAGTGAGGTGGTTGGCACCCGTACTACGCATTCCCAACCACCTACCTTGTCGGACTATGATCGCCTGTATAGAAGTAGGTTGAAGTAAAGATTTAATAGCCAAACGTGATATCAATCCATAAAGTCACTGTTGATCGAGTCCATGTTAGTAGATTCAAATCACGTGACTGGAAACCAAGCATTAGTTACCGTCAGTGGTCGGAGAAATTGAGGGAGATTGCCCGAAACCTGTCTCAGTGGTAAAGATACAGTCGCTCTTTCTCTGGATAGTGAATCCCAATGTTCCTCCAAACATATCTTTTCATTCCATCTTCTTGTACCGTATTCCCCTTAAACATTTTTCAATATTATTGCTGTTGCAGTATTCCTACTTATTTTCTATTACATCTGGTTGTACTAATATGATATGGCAATATGAGCTAACGTGCACTTGCTCTAGGTTTTTGCGTTTATTATGAGTGACTGAGCGAATAATGGCTCTGGAAATATCAGATGGTAATAGAAATCAACTTAGCATGTTGTTAGAAGTTCAAACCAAAGGACCAAAGGACGGGTTTACTGTGCAGCAGTCCGTTCCGTCCTACTTTATGGCAGTTAAACATGGCCCATAAGAGTAGAGGACATTTGAAGGTTACTAGTATTCAATCAAAGGTGTCTTCGAAGCATTACTCGTATCTCCTGGGACCACCGGGTAAGTAATGCAGATGTTAGGAAACGGGTACTAGGTAAGGATGGCAAATCGATTGATGAAGTAGTGAAACTTCATCAGTCGAGATGGCTGGGACATGTGTTACGTATGCCCAACCACCGACTGCCCCGACGTGCAATGCTTTATAGTGTAGGAGTAGATTGGAAGAAAGCTAGGGGCGGCCAGACCAAAACATGGCACAAATCCATGAAGTCACTGACAAGTGGACTGAGCCATATTGGTAGGTGTAGACTACCTGGTTGGGATTCGTGAGATGATAACAACCGATGGTTAGAGACCTTGAATGACATGGCTTAAAATAGTTTGCAATGGCGAAGGTTTATCCACTCTTTGTGTTCTCCCAAATTCTAATCTGAATTATTTGTGTCCTTTTTTTCTTTCCAAATTTAATTCACTGGATTATACTCCTTCAATAACATCTTCAAACCCTAATCTTTCGGATTACTGCTTATTCTCTTACTACTACTACTACCAATATGGGATTTGAATCGACAACTTCATCTCTGTGCTAATGTGGTTTGGCAACTCGAACTGATGTACGTACGTACGAAGTTCTACGTTGTAACTGACTGACTGACTAAGAAGTTCAAACTGATTATAATTGTTCTTCAAAAAATCTGGTGACTTGATAGTAATAATATAAAACCTCACATTCGTAATGTAAAAAAACGATTAAATTTGCTCACTAGAGTAAAGGTAGCTTCTCCGTGATTATTCACGCCAAGGTAAATGGATTCCCAAAATAATATTGCATACTCATTAGTCATATTTCGTTAGTCCCCGATCCCAATTTCGATCTCTGACTCAACACTATGTTTCTACAGCCGTTATCTTCAAATCATTTTATGCATGTTACATAATTAATATAGGGTTTATTTTTGAATAATTTCCTATAGTTTTACATAAAAATTGCTGTTTACAGTATTTAAGATCAGGTAGTCAAGCTTGAGTCCCTTCTAATAAAAAATTGATATCTATTATATGTTTCGAAAAATGTATGTGCTGTCTTAGGTTGTATTTTTATTTTATTAAAAACAGGCCTAAAATCTTATTAATTAATTCAATTACCTGTTACAAATAAGCTAATCAGAATCAGCATCAGTCACTACTAGTCTATGTATTTACTTTTTACTCTGCAAATCACTCCCTTAAAATAGACGATATTGACACGATTGCAGTCATTCATTTCTGTTATCAATAAATCCCACTTCTAAATAAAAATATTAATGTATTTATGTCGACCGTGTATCGTGTTTCCAATTCTCTAGAAATCATTTCAATATTATTGCTTAATTCCGTATTATTTTTACGTTGAAGGAAATCAAATCTAAGCAATATTTTTAAATTTTGTTTTTATTAGCTAGTCATTAAAATTTTGTAAACTAAACTTTTGTAGTATTTCTTTATCCTTAAGTCCTCTTTTTTATTTTTAAATAATATTTTCTGTTTAATGACTCAATTATCAGCACTTACATTTACCTACATTTCAGGTACTTAATGCTGGTCGTATATGTATTTTAGATGTTGAACTACAGGGAGTTAAAAGTATCCATGCAATTCAACCACCGTTGAATGCTCAATATATCCTTATTCGTCCATCTTCAATTAGTGAATTGGAAAAGCGTTTACGTGGCCGAGGAACAGAAACTGAAGAATCTCTATCTAAGCGGCTTGCTCGGGCTCGTGAAGATATTGCATTCTCTGAAACTGAAGAAGGCCAGAAACTGTTCACAAAAATTATAATTAATGATGATCTTAACACTGGATATAAAGAGTTAGAAAATTTTGTTCTCCCAGCTGTTAAATGTACTAAATGTGCGTTATAACTACGAATATATTTAGTGATCCACTAATATCAATATACTTAGTACTATTTATTTACTATTTTGCACTTTATGTAACAGCATTTATCTATCAGTTTTACTTTTGCTTCCCCCTCCTCAGTTCTCGTTGTAGCATAAAGTAGATAATCCACATCTTTAAGCTACAAGTTGCACAGTAATTATTAGTAATATTAATTTGATAGTTATTATATTACTTCTATCTTCCTAAATGTTTCGCATTTGATTGTCAATGTATTATGACAAATTTATTTAAATGTATTACAGAAATAGAAGTTTAGTATTTCGCATCTTTTATTGCTTAGTGTGTTGTGGATGATTGGTCATTATTTCTCTCAACCTTTATTATATTCAGTATATATTAGTGCAACTGTGTCAATAGGCAAAGTTGAATAAATATCCATTATAATTGTGCATGTTAGTCAAAACTTATCTAATAAAAATTATTCAAGTCCTTGGTGTTTATAATTTCATGCCACTGTTAACACACACTGCTCGATTGATACTTGGTATGACCGAAGTAATTGACTGTCCTGGTAGATTTGAACTCACATAGCAGCTGTACTACCTATTCTACCACATGTCCAAAACAGATGGTTTGGTAATGTTTTTTTGATTAGACGTTTATTCAAAATAATTCATTTCGAGATTGAAAGAAACTAAGCAAATTGGTGAAGTTGTAGACCCGCATATTTTAACGTTAAAATAGGATGTACCACAAGTGCTGCGTGGACATTGATCACAGTGCTGATTCTCGAATCACATTGATTTCTCACGTAGATCACCATTAGTATATGTTAATATAAGCCCTAAGTAGGCTAGATAAAACTATCATATTGATCACTGAAGTTACTGTATTTAAAGCAATTTGAAAAATCGTAAAGAATGTGGATGAATTCTATAAGATAATGTGACTAACAGTAGTGAGCTATTAAACAGGTAAAAGAAGAAAGAAATAAGTAAACAGAATGACTCATTTGACACATAATTTAGGGAGAAAAGTAAATGCGTGTCTTTTATCATGATCGACTTTGAGTAAGATCACCTAACATCTCCAGTCATTTTTTAGTTATGTCTCAGATTCTACTTCAAGCATCAATTGAAGGTCTGATTGGACACTATCTTACTTTTAATTGTAAGCGTTACTTTGTACTGTTGTATTGAGAGGTCTGACATCTATGGGTCAGTTGACAACATAATTTTGGTTCTGCTGTTTTCATACTGATAACCAACTTATTGGCTTTACACTTCTGACTATCGATTAGGTGTTTACCATCGTGACACATTCAACAATTTTTATCAAATCTTGAAATCCTGAGAAAGAACAATATACATTTTATGTCTTACCTTGGTCTACCACAACATGCTAAACGTGGATTTTAAATAAAAAAACAGCTATAGAATCTTTAATTCTGGCATAAGCCATCGTTTTTTGTTTATGGTAACAACTATGTGTAAGATATTCACTTACTATTGTTTGGTTGAATCTTCCCATCGATGTGTTAGGACTGCAACTGGTCAGTCTCTAATTGGTTTATGTGCATACTGTGCGTATTGCCTCAATATAGCCTTGATTCACAAGCATGATAAGCAAAGATGGATAGTGGCTAGCAGTGGAATCCAGGACGCATGTTTCGTCCTATTTGGGACTCGTCAGCCGGATGTACCTGCATCTCAGAGTTGATGTTCACTCTGGGAATCGAACCCAGTACCCTCGCTTCAAACGCCATCGCGTTATCCACTCGGCGACGAAACGCGCGTCCTGGATTCCACTGCTAGCCACTATCCATCTTTGCTTATCATGCTTGTGAATCAAGGCTATATTGAGGCAATACGCACAGTATGCACATATGCCCCCGAATGCCCTGGTACGGCCGAGAGTGGGGAGAGTCTACTCTCCCTCTCGAAATGCTCTCACATGGCCAGCGAATATATAGCCTCTGCCAGGGAAGTCCTACTCACTGCCTTCTCGTGGCGGGGGTGTTGTTTACGAAAGTGAGAGGACGAAAAGCGAATGTCCGGCGCTATAACCGGATCGGTGGACACGGTGGGTCCACCTAGGGGAGTTGGAAAACCCTAATTCCAAACCAATGGTGCACATGGGCTCCAGTATCCTGATGGAACGAATGGCGTACGAATCAACTGTTGGTCACCGGCTACCATGGGACTGTATCTCCTTACGATGCTCCATCGTCTTGTGGACTAGACCTTTGGGTCAAAGGCTCGGGCTGTGGTCCCCTAAGAAAACCACCTGTTTCAGTTTGGGCACCTGGGCATTATCACAGCCCACACACAAATGATGAACTCTATTGACGATAATATCCCTGCTCATACTAAAATCAAGACAATTTACATTATTATTATTACCTTTATTATTATTATTATTATTATTATTATTATTATTATTATTTACCATATCGCTAACTCACCCCCTTTTATCCTCAATTTGTGTTACCTTACTTTTCAACTTATGCAGCAGCTCACCCATGGTGGAAAATCTGTCCTATCTAAACGATCTCCAGTCACTGTCTGGTTGAAAGTGAATGCTTCCACCGATTATGAATACTGAAGCAGTCTTTCTGAAACCACGTACGCCGTTCAAGCTGGCTTCCTTCAACGTTCGCACACTAATGCATATCAGACAACAGATAGGGCTGGCTATATCTTTGGAAGGTCTTAATGTTGATGTTTGTTGTCTATCCGAGACCCGTATTCAAGACTCTAGTGAAGTACTACAAATCCGCTCTCCATCTGTCGCCTCGAAAAGCTTGTTCCACGTGCGCTTATCCGGGGACCCTGTGGCATCTTCGTCTGGTCTTGCTGGCGTTGGCGTCGCACTAAGCGCTAGGGCTGAGGCAGCACTAATCGACTGGATCCCCATTAACAGTCGGTTATGTGCTGTTAGATTAGAAAGTTTCATCAAAGTGATAAGAAATCGGCGTGAGAAACGGTGTCTTTTCGTCATCTCCACCTATGCTCCGACAGATTGCAGCCCGGATGCAATCAAGGATGAGTTTTACCATCAGTTAACAGTTCTTCTCCAGAAAGCGCGTTCGACAGATATTGTAGTACTAGCCGGAGACTTGAATGCACAGGTCGGGCGTCTAGGCATAGAAGAGAGTCGTCTAGGTGGCCGATGGGGACTTGTTGGTCGCAGGACAGATAACGGGGACCGTTTGCTGCAACTGTGCACAGACCACAACCTGTTTATGGCCAGCACTAACTTCCGGCACAGTCATCGCCGGTGTGCCACCTGGCGTCCTCCCTTTGCATCCCAAGCCTGCACTCAGATTGATCACATCGCGATCAGCTACCGCTGGCGTGGTTGTGTACAAGACTGCCGCTCCTTTTGGAGTACCTATCTGGAGTCTGATCATACCCTGGTCTACGCCAATCTCACCTTACTTTCCAGTGGCCGAAGGATTGACCACCACCAACGGATTGATATTAGTAAACTGGCTGCAACTTCTGTTGCAAGTGAGTATCGAGCGGAGCTAGCCTCTAGGCTAGCTACCACCCCACCGAAAAGTATAGATGAGCATTGGTTGCATCTTCACGACGCCATGAAAATGGCGAGTAAAGTCGCTTGCGGCTTCGCGAAACGTCCCGCTTGCAAGCACTGGGTTTCTTCTGGCTCCTTACAACTGATGGAAGCCCGTCGGTCTACTCCGGGTGACCGTGAGTTTGACCACAAACGAAGGCTGTTACGTAATGAAATTGCGCAAAGCTTGCGTAAGGACCGGGAAGCCTGGTGGTCGGAGCGTGCTAATGAGATGGAAGCAGCAGCTGCATCTGGTAACTGCCGGAAGCTCTTCCAACTCACTCGATCCACTGACAGCAAGAAGTCTGGTATGAGTGAAACAATCTACGAGGATGATGGGATGCCAATCACTAATATCTCTCGACGTTTTGGACGATGGGCGGAATTTTTCGAGGGGCAGTTCAACTGGCCTGCTGCTCCGGCAACATCAACCAGTTTGTCCTGGCCCCCATGGCCGGTGACGACTGATCCACCAAACGAGGCGGAAGTCCGCAAGGAACTCCAACTCTTGAAACGTTACAAATCACCTGGCCCAGATGACTTACCTCCGGCTCTTTTTAAAGATGGTGGTGACCTTCTGACTAAGGAATTGACTGTGTTGTTTGGAAAGGTTTGGGAGCAAGAAAGTGTTCCAACATCATGGAATGAGTCGATAGTCGTCCCTATCTTTAAAAAGGGTTCACGTTGTTCCTGCAATAACTAACGGGGGATAAGTCTACTTTCGATTGCGTCTAAACTTTTGGCTTCTATCATTCTTCGTAGGTTGTTTAAAACCCGAGAACGATTGACTCGCGAGGAGCAGGCTGGTTTTCGTTCTGGTCGAGGATGCATTGATCACATCTTCACCCTCCGCCAAATGTTAGAACACCGTCATACTTATCACAGGCCAACAATCGTAGTGTTTCTTGATATCAGGGCGGCCTTCGATTCGTTGGACAGGACTGTTCTCTGGGATTGTCTATTGAACAAGGGTGTGCCTGAGAAGTTCATTAACATCTTAAAGGCCCTGTATACGAACACCTCAGGCAGAGTGAGGGCATACAACCACCTTTCTCCCTTGTTTCATTCGAGCAGTGGGGTTAGACAGGGTTGCCCGATCTCACCTTTCCTCTTCAACTTTGCTATCGACGACATCCTGGAAACAGCTCTGATGGATGTAAGTAATGGCGGTGTGGATATGTTGCCTGGAGAACGACTTCTCGACCTTGAGTATGCGGATGATATTGTCTTACTGTGCGATAATGCCCAAGGCATGCAATCAGCACTTAATCAGTTGGCAATCAGTGTCCGCAGGTACGGCATGTGCTTTGCACCCTCCAAGTGCAAAGTACTCCTACAAGACTGGCAGGATTCTCATCCTGTACTCACCCTGGATGGTGAGGAGATCGAAGTAGTTGAGAAGTTCGTGTATCTAGGTAGCTATATAAGTGCTGGTGGTGGCGTGAGTGATGAGATTGATGCACGTATAAGGAAAGCCAATTGGCTTATGCCAATCTGGGCCATCTTTGGCGCCTTCGTGATGTTAGTCTGGCTGTAAAAAGTCGGATTTACAACGCGTCGGTGAGAGCAGTTTTGCTCTATGCTTGTGAAACCTGGCCTCTCCGAGTTGAGGATGTTAGACGTCTCTCTGTGTTCGATCATCGTTGTCTCCGAAGGATTGCTGACATCCAGTGGCAACACCATGTTAGTAATGCAGAGGTTCGGCATCGTGTGTTTGGGCGCAGAGACGATAATTCAATTGGTGTCACCATCTTGAAACACCGACTTCGGTGGCTTGGACATGTTTTACGAATGTCGTCCCAGAGACTTCCACGTCGTGCATTATTTGCCGACCCTGGGACTGGTTGGAAAAAGCGGAGAGGAGGTCAGTGTATGACATGGTGTCGTGGCATGAAAGAAAGCTGCAAAGTGCTAGCTTCTGTTGGTCCTTCACGACTCTCTGGCTGGGGTCCGAGAGATGGTGCAACACAGTGGCTAGAGACGTTATCAGATATGGCTCAGAATAGAAGCCAGTGGCGATCCTGCTGCAACCTTCTTTTACTTTCTACATAAAGAATGGTTCTAACTTTCCTAACTGAAAGAGTCTTCTGGTTGTACATTTCAGCCCACCTTATCTTTTCATCCCTTCTCTTGCTACTTTCATTATTTTGTGTGGCGCATATGTACCTGGTGCCCTTTTGTACCAATATATGTGTTTAAATAAATAAATAAAGAGACTAACCAGTTTCAGTCCTAACACATCGATGGGAACATTGAAACAAACAATACTAAGTGAATTTAAAATTCACCCCATCGCACAAGAGAGTGGCTATCAGGACTCAGTGGCCGAGTGGATAACGCGATGGCGTTTAAAGCGAGGGTACTTGGTTCGAGTCCCAGAGTGAACATCAACTCTGAGATGCAGGTACATCCGGCTGACGAGTCCCAAATAGGATGAAACGCGCGTCCTGGATTCCACTACTAGCCACTATCCATCTTTGCATATGTGTAAGATAGTTTGTTGGAGCGTTTGAGGCAAAGCTTTACTGAAAATAGTATTTGCGTCAAATATACATCGTTACACTCAATGAAATTATAAGCCATTTGCATTTATTATATTATGACCACCCAATTTCTCTTACAACTTGAAGATTTCAGCATAAAACTACACTACTTAGATATCAGTTGGTCGTGTGCCTCGACATAGTGAAGAGATCAGAATCATTCTTTTAATAGTAAATGAAAGCTTAGTACAATAAAGATAGTTTATGTCAGTCGGTATTACGCCTGGCAAAAAATTATGTTTATCTGAGTTGTCACACTTCATAGCGAAACCATAAGACGGAAAGAACGTAGCTAAAGAGTGTTAATACTTGTGTCACTGTCATGTTTTTCCCCTTATATGTCCTATTATGTGTGTAAGCTAATGTAAACAAAAGTTTGACTATGGCTGCTTTCAAATTTATCAGTCTTAACATGTGTTAAGGGTTTCAGACTTGATATGAGTAGTGTTTTTCGAAACACGTTTAAATATTCTACTTTTTTTATATGTCCCAATTATTATGGGACTTTTTATCACTGCTTCAGACATTGATCGAGAATTCTGTAAGTCACGCTAGTTAATATGGACAAGATTACAAGCGTTCTTGTTTTCATGATCTCGCTAATACAAACTCAATAAATTCATGCAAATACATTGGTTATGGACTCTTTTTATTACTGTGTGGTTGATAATTAGTAAATCTGTGCATATTACATCAGTGGAAGTAACTAACTTCGGTGTTTCAATCACAGGAGCTTGTAAAAATCCTTTATTGCCAGAAAAGTAATTACAATCAGTTATTCACACAATCCTAAAATACTTTCTGTGAATACTAGTTAATAAGCTAACCAATATATACAAATAGAGACTTATAGGCAATCTTATGATCAGTAATAATAACTACAGTATATTTGTGGTGTTGTTTCTAGTACCGTTTAAGTCAACATGTTTTGTTATATGGTATTTGTTACAGAGACTAAACTGTAGTTAAATTTGAAGGCATTAAGTGTTTCAGTCATCAATTATTTGAAATAAATACGGACTTTTATTCCTTTTATATCGAAGGGTCCAGCCGGGGTTCGAACCCGTGACTGTGAAATGAAAATGGGAGATTTGCAAATCTATGCGCATTCAACAAATTTGTTAGAGGCGGCACAATATTCTCACACGAACACATGCACTAAGCTACATGGATCTAACCGGACCACACCATGGAGGATCAGATAAATCATATTTATATCAACAAAAATTTCTGAAGGACAATGGAATATGTAAGAACCAGGAGAGGAGCTGACATAGCTTCAGATCACCACCTGGTTGTGGCCAAGATGAAACTGAAGCTAAGTAAACACTGGAAAACTGAGGGAACAGCATTATAAAGGTTCAATACAGCCTCCCTTCGAGATACTAACAAACTCAGCGAATTCAAGATAACTTTCAACAACATATCTGAGAGCATCATTGATGAACACAGTGGAGCTGATGCAAATATAATGGCGAGGATCGGCGATGCAAGGGCAGCATTCCTACAATTGAAGAACATATGGAACTCAAAACAACTGTCAACCAATATCAAAGTCGGAATCTTCAATACGAACATCAAGAGAGTCCTACTGTACGTAGCTGAAACATGAACTACTACAACCATTGTCAAGAAGGTACAAGTATTTATAGATAGTTGTCTTCGCGAAATACTCAACATTCACTGGCCGGATACCATCACCAACAGCTTTCTGTGGGATCAAACAAACCAGCTTCCATCTGAAGAGGAAATTAGGAAAAGACTTTAGATAGATCAGACATATATTGAGGAAATCACCAAACTGCATCACAAGGCAAGCCCTAACTTGTAATCCTTAAGGGAAGCGGAAGAGAGAAAGGCCAAAGAACACATTACGCTGGGAAGTAGAAGTGGATATGAAAAGGATGGATAGCAACTGGAGAGAACTGGGAGGGTTCGCTCAGGACAGGGTCGAATGGAGATTGCTGGTGAGCGGCTTATACTCTTCCACGAGGAGTAGCAAGCGTTAGTCTGTTTTGTTTATCGTTGCACTGAACTCGATAGGTATCAATACTAAGGTTGAACTTGGTAGTTTCAAATAAATTGAGCATTGAGAAGAGAGGTAATATTTACTCTGAAGAAGTGTATAATAAGTGTAATAATCTGGAGACAGTTTGTTTAAGATTAGTTTACTATGGCTTGTGTGACAGTTTTATATTCACCTTAATGAATTGCTTTAGTTAATATAATTGAAAAGCTCTGTCAAACGAAGTTGTCAGTATCTTGAAAATATATGTGGTTCATGTGATATTGAAACCTAACTGTAACTTTACAACGGGGCAGTAATGTATTGTATAAACATTAAGCTCACTTTTATTTAAAGACGAACAGAGCGTAGTAATATTTCTTTTCAATTAGCTTTTCATCATGGATCTTTACTAATATATATGTATGTGATTTTCAATAAAAAGAAATACCAACCAGGCAGTGATGTGTTAAGTAATATTATGAACTTAAATGTTTTTAGAAATAATTGTGAATGGTTAAATAAACAAGTAAGAGATGTCGACAATGTAACTCCTCAGTGATATGCAACTACAACCCCTCCATAGAAAGTAAAACTCAATACTTGCGGTCTCTCACGGAAATGTTTAACCTCTAGACGACTGAGGCTAAATTGATTGGTGTACAAGTGTGACTTCAGTTGGTCCACGATATTGCGCATTTATCTTCGGTTGGTACTATCCTCACACCCAACACGGTTGAATTCCACTGGTTGGAGTTCACTCCACTCCAAGTTTAAAGAGCACGAAGGAACGAAGAAAGCATATTAGTTGCGATCAATCAGAAGCAGGTCTTACCAAGTCAATGTCGTGTTCTGGTTAAGGTGATTTATATGAAGCATGTTTGTTTATTTGTGTGTATATTTATGGTAAAGGATGAAAAAATGTGACATTTGTAGTGAGAAAGGTCAGAGTTACATTTGTATATATGATAATAGTATTAGAAGTGAGTAGAGTCAGACATGGTGGCTCGGATGGATAGTGAGGCCTTCTTTCTATTGAAGGCAGTAGGATTAAGCAATATATGAAAAGCTTCAACTGCTCTCCTTTCACTGTAGTTGGAAAAGCCTCTTTGTATTATTTTGATGTTTTTAATATCAATTTTGATGGTTGTTGAAAATGGCATGAACTGCTATTGCAGATTTAATTTGAAGTCTTTCCAGTTCTACGAGATTTCTTTGTGTACCTAAGTTGTAGACACAATTCTTTGTTGACATAAAGGGGATTTTTCTCTTTATGGGAACTAAAGTATTTCAAAGGGTGTTTGTTGTTTTGTAATATACTTTAATTCTGTGCTGTTTTAAGACACTTTGGAGTTCTCCTGTAGTACCATGGCGGTGTGGTAAAACTACAGTACCAATCCATGGTATTTCATTCGGTTTATTATTTAGCAGTAACATATCTCGTTTTATGACACTTTTAATAGTGTTCATAGGAAAGTTATTAAGTTGTAGGATGTTAATTATATGCTTTTTTCTTTTTTTTGTTTATCCTCTTCAGACGTAATAAACTTGTTTGCTCTATTAAAGATATTTAGGGCTAGAGAGACTTTTGCACTGAATGGATGTGCTGAACTGAAGTCGATATAACGATTTGAGCGCGTTAGTTTTCGGTAGACGGCTAGATTTAGAGCTCTATTTAGATTTCTTTTCACTAAGCAATCTAAAAATTGTAGCTCACATTGTTCATTTTCATTCTCATCCGTAAATTTGATGTGAGTGCATTTGCCAGTATAGCTGTAACACCATTCAACATATGCAGAGTTTTAGTTTTATCGGGGAACCTAGCAAGTCTTATTAGTGGAGCAGATGCTTACTGATTCAAGCACTCACCTTTTAACCAACAAGTTTATATAACAGTATGAAGATTTAAGAAGAATGTAGTATTTTGATTGTTCAAGTCACAAGTCGTTTGAAGTTAGACCACCAATGAAGACCTGAAAGCAGTGGACGGTCGTTTTGTCCTAGTATGGGACTCTTTAGCAGTGCGTATCCACTATCAGTAGTCTAGAGTTTAAGCGTTTACTCTCTGAACTGACGTCCCTGTGTTCGAATCCCGCACGCGGGGTTGTGGATGTGCTAGTTCTGACGAGTCCCATACTAGGACGGAACGACCATGCAGTGCTTCCATGTTTTCAATGGTGGTTTAGCTTAGATTACTTCGTGAGTTCAACTATCAAAGTTAACATATGATAAGAAAAGCGTATATGAAGCTTGATAAAATTTGTAAGTTACAGCATTTATAACGATAATTTATAACAACCAGTTCATATCTTCCTCAAATCAAGTTCAGATCGATCCATAATTTATATGTCTCCTTCAATGGTCAGAATTTATATCTTATTGGCAAGTTTAGTAGGGGGTATTTATTTATTTATTTATACACATAAATATTAGTACAAGGAAGCACCAGATACATAAGCGCCGCACAAATTTCATTCGGTTTGTGTGAGGGCTGTGATACTGCCTAGGTGCCCAAATTGAAGCAGGTGGTTTTCTTAGGGGGCCACACCCAGAACCTTCGACCTAAAGATATGATCCACAAGGAAGTGGAGCATCGTGAGGAGATGCAGTCACGTGGTAGTCGGTGACCAACAATTGGTTTATACGCCATTTAATCCCTCAGGATACTGGAACCCATGTGCACCATTGGTTTGGAATCAGGGTTTTCCAACTCCCCTAGGTGGACTTTCCGTGTCCACCAACCCGGATAAAATGCCGGACATTCGCTTTTCGTCCTCTCACTTTCGTGAACAACACCCCTGGTGTGAAGGTAATGAGTATGACTTCCCTGTCAGAGGCTGTATGTGCGTGGCGATGTGAGAGCATTTGTAGCGGGAGAGCGAACTCTCCCCACTCTCGGCCGTACCAGGGCATTTTGGGGGCAAGTTTAGTAGGAATCAAATGCAGAAATGTATTCTCTTAAGAAAACTGAAATGATTCATCCTCGTTTAGAATTACTGAACTTTGTAATTGTTCAAATAAGATACATGGCATTTTCATATTGTAAAACAAGAATAGTGCACTTGAAAAGAATGACTAAGTTTCTAAATAATGTATATGAATGGGTTGTTAACTATGGTAAACTATAATATTGTTTTTACTATACTTAATTTATTACTCTTTTCATGTTTTATTTTAGGGTTATAATATATTACCATGTCGTCGAATTCGATCGCTTCTGCTTGTCTTGTTAATCTTGTCAATGGTTTTAATGTTTCTCAGACAACTTTCAATGTTTTATGATTCTGACATGGTACCAATTTCAATCAGTTTCGTGAGTTTGTCTAAAGAATATGTATGTATACATTTATATTATTTATTTAGACACATAAATATTAGTACAAACGGGTACCAGATACATATGCGCCACACAAATCAAATTTGATTTGTGTGTGGGCTGTGATATTGCCCAGGTGCCCAAACTGAAGCAGGTGGTTTTCTTAGGGGGCCACACCCCGAGCCTTTGACCTAAAGGTCTGATCCACAAGGCAGTGGAGCATCATGAGGAGATGCAGTCCCATAGTAGCCGGTGACCAACAATTGGTTCATACACCTTTTGTTCCTTCCGGATACTAGAACCCACGTGCACCATTGGTTTGGAATCAGGGTTTTCCAACTCGCCTAGGTGAACTTTCCGTGTCCACCAACCCGGATAAAATGCCGGATATTCTCTTTTCGTCTTCTCAATTTCGTAAAGAACACCTGCGCCACGATAAGGCATTGAGTAGGTTTTTCCTGGCAGAGGCTTTATACTCATGGCCATGTGAGAGTATTTCGAGAGGGAGAGTGGACTCTCCCCACTCTCGGCCATACCAGGGCAGGTATGCATATACTAGACTGATCTTATTTTTTTATATAGTCTAAGATTTGAATAAATCTCGGATCTAGTTTATGGAGTTTTGTGAGGACTAGTTTAATTCGTGAAATTTCCTTAATGGTTGAGCGTTTATTGCCAAATTTGAAGATTATGGTGTTGATCCGCGATTGGGTTGTAAATGAGTATTGCTGATGAGTGTCATGCAGGAGCGAAAAGGCTGTTCAGTGCTCCCTGATTTTCCTTGATGTCCCAAATGAGATCAATCTGATAGTCTCTCGAGTTTATTTTTAAATTGACTTAGTTATATTCATTAGTATAGGGGGTGTTAATGAGCATTTGATTCCCAATAACTTATTGGTAAATTTTGAATGTTATCTTCAGTCAGTCAGTCACAAGGTAGAACTTTCTTACGTACGTACATCAGTTCGAACTGCCATACCACACTAGCACAGAGATGCAGTTGTCTATTCAAATCCCATAGTGGTAGAAGTAGTAAGAGTATAAGCAGTAATCCGAATGATTAGGGTTTGAAGATGTTATTCAAGGAGTATAATCCAATGAAATGAATTTGGAAAGAGAAATAAGATAGAGACATGAAGAATTTAGAAGATTACAATTTGGGAAAACACAAACCGTGGATGCACCTTCGCCATTACAAACGATTTTGAGCCATGTCATTCAAGATCTTTAACCATAGGTTGTTATCATCTTGCGAATCCCAACCAGGTAGTCTACACTTACCAGCATGGTTCAGTCCACTTGTAAGTGAGTGACTGCATGGATTTGTGCCACGTTTTGGTCTGGCCGCCCCTAGATTTCTTCCAACATACTCTTACACCATAAAACATTGCACATTGAATGTTATCTTAAAGTTTCTTAAAATTTTCTTAATTAAAATAAAGTGAACATCTACCAGCATGGCTTGGGAAGGGCCAGATAAAAAGAATACTCAGTTTTATGTTGGCACACCTAATTGATAGTAGTCATAATGTAGATAAATCGAAATCATTTCGAGTGATCTATCGTATACCTCTATCATTTCCCAACGGAGTTCATTCTCGTCTTCTTCATATAGCAGAAGCCTTAGGAATTCGTACATTTCACCCTAATTTATATGTACAGAAGAAATTTGTAACCCTCTTACCCCTTCCATGGCCGGACATAACAAATAACCAAAAGGGGTTTTGTAGAGGTTTCAGTATTCTCATAGTTGGGTTCGAATCTCGCTCGCGAGTCGGGATCGTGGATGCGCACTGCTGAGGAGTTCCATAATAGGACGAAACGGCCGTCCAGTGCTTCCAGGTTTTCCATGGTGGCCTAACTTCAATGGACTCATGTTTTCAATTAACAAATGACATTATTATTAGTATTTTTCAATTTTATTTTTAATTTTGTTATCATTTGTTTGTAATTTTCTGCCTCTTTCCGTATTGTATTCTTCACTATCTAATTACTTACATACTTCTTATTACGTAATGATTTTAATATTTTGTGATTACTATTCTAAGTCTATTTACCCACGTTTAACCTTCTACTTCTTATTCAAAGTTGAAATCATGAGTCAATTGGAGCTAGATCACCATTGAAAACCTAGAAGCACTGTACGGCCGTTTCGTCCTATTATGGGACTCCTCAGCAGTGCGCATCCAAGATCCCGCCTCACTAGTGATTGACTTCAAGAGATATTTCCTGGAGTTCTAGTGAGAAACAATGACCAGTGAAGTTCAAACCACATCTGTTGTGAGATAGGAACTCACTGAAGACAATTGATAAACGGTTGCTCAACTTGGTGGATTGGTTGAAGTTAGACATTAACACCGTTGGATGCCAGCTCAGTGGCCTATGGGTTAAGTGCTCTGACGCGAGACTGATAGGTTCTGGGTTGGATCTCGCGAGACGGGATCGTGAAAGCGCACTTCTGAGGAGTCCCATAATAGGACGAAACGGCCGTCCAGTGCTTCCAGGTTTTCGATGGTGGTCTAGCTTCAATTGACTCACGCTTTCAACTATTATGTAATTTCCTTATCTGAATTTCTCTATACTAATCCCTACTGTTTAGAATCATTCTGGTCTAGATTGGAATATTTCATTGAATGGTATCCAATCAACTTCAGATGATTTGAAGTTAAACCTAAGTTATCGAGTACATGTATTCTATTATGCATGGTACGATGCTCCACAAAAATTATCAAATCAAAATTCATTGAATAATAATAGCTGGACACATTGGAATCATCGACGTCTGAAACATTGGAATGCTAAAGTTGCCAGTGGTTATTCGACGGAATCTCATCGTCCACCATATTTGTTAGCATCATCTTTCTATCCAAAACTAGGTCCATATTCATCAAAAGACTTAAATATTATCCATATTCATATGGAAATGATTAGATTTGCTGGAATCGGTAAGTGTATCTATAAAATTAGTCGATTGTATTTTCTATATGTCACTTCATATTGATTTCAAATTTAATCAGTTTGTTTCAAATCTTTTACTTAAAATTTCAAATGTTTTTATTTATTTATTTAAGCACATAAATATTGGTACAAATGGGCACCAGATAGATATACGCCACGCAAATCTCATTTGATTTGTGTGAGGTCTTTGATACTACCCAGGTGCCCAAACCGAAGCAGGTGGTTTTCTTGGGGGGCCACACCCCGTGCCTTTGACTTAGAGGTCTGATCCACAAGGCAGTGTTGCATCATCAGGAGATGTAGTCCCATGGTAGTTGGTGACCAACAATTGGTTCATACACCATTTGTTCCCTTAGGATACTGGAGCCAGCCCATGTGCATCATTTGTTTTGAATCAGTGTTTTCCAACTCCCCTAGGTGGATCCTCCACATCCACCAACCCGGTTAGAGCGCCGGACATTCGCTTTTCGTCCTCTCATTTTTGTGAACAACACCCCCGCCACGAGAAGGCAGTGAGTAGGACTTTCCTGTCAGAGGCTATATATTCACGTGGCCATATGAGAGCATTTTGAGAGGGAGGGTGGTCCCTCCCCACTCTCGGCATTTGGGGGCCAATTTACTACCAGAAAATTTACTTTTCTTTATACAATCAACACAAAGTAAGAAACTCCAAAAATAAATCTTACATCTTCATTCAACCAATTGACTAAGTTTTAAATGCCTACTAAAGTTAAAAAACCCAAACAAAACAAGACAAATCTAGGACGCGCGTTTCGTCCTACTTGGGACTCGTTAGCTGGATGTATCTGCATCTCAAAGTTGATGTTCACTCTGGGACTCAAACCCACTACTTTTCGCTTCAAACGCTATCACGTTATCCACTCGGCCACTGAATCGTGATAGCCATTTGCTTGTGCAATAGGGTGAAGTTTAAATTTACTTAGTATTGTTTGTTTGAATCTGAGATGTGGCAGTTACATCCAGCTGACGAGTCCCAAATAGGACGAAACGCGCGTCTTTGATTCCATTGTTTGCCACTATCCATCTTTGCTTACCATGGTTGTGAATCAAGGCTATATTGAGGCAATACGCACAGTATGCACATAAACCAATTAGAGACTGACCAGTTACAATCCTTAAAACATCAATGGGAACATTCAAACAAACAATACTAAATGAATTCAAGACAATATATTGGAATCCAATGAGTTGATACATTCTAAATAACATATAATAAGTTTATAGAACTTGTTAGTGGTTTAATATCATAGCTAATTATAAATATTTGGCATCTTTGGTTTTTGTTGTTAGGTTAATCAACATTTTAATAATGAATACATTATGACAAGATGTAGAAAATAATACACAATATGAATCATAGAATATCTATTAGACAATAAGAAGAAATATAAACAATTTCAAGATCAGGGTATGGGTCAAAAATGGAAACAACTAAAAATAAACATAGAGTAAATAGTTATTATAACAACTAACCAAATTTCATATTAACAAACTATACCAAAATTCTTATAGCTCAATTCTCTTTAAAGTATGTATTGATGATGTTATTTAAATGATTAACAAGAATTTCATAAACAGACTGTCGAACTTAAAAAGTTACAACACGAACAGGAATAGACAGATATGGAACATGTTAAACTCAATGATTATGTTTATGTTTATCTTATAATGATGTTCAATTTATAATTTTAAATTAGGCTTCTGTTTCAAATCGAATTTTCCAAGACTAAATAAAACGTGTATAATTTGTGTTATATATGAAATTGGTGTACAAAGTAAGATTTCTCAGAGATTTGTATGCCAAATGCCCTGGTACAGCCGAGAGCGGGGAGAGTCCGCTCTCCCTCTCCAAATGCTCTCACATCGCCACACGTATATAGCCTCTGTTAAGGAAGTCCTACTCACTGCCTTCTCATGGCATTATTGTCGTTTACGAAATTGAGAGGACGGAAAGCTAATATCCGGCCTTATAACCGAGTTGATGGACACGGGGGGTCAACCTAGAGGAGTTGGAAAACCCTGATTCCAAACCAATGGTGCACATGGGCTGGCTCCAGTATCCTGAAAGAACAAATGGCGTATGAATCAATCGTTGGGGTTCGTCTACCATGGGACTGCATCTCCTCACGTTGCTCCACTGCCTTGTGGACTAGACCTTTAGGTCGAAGGCTCTGAGTGTGGCCCCTTAAGCAAACCACCTGTTTCAGTTTGGGCACCTGTACAGTATCATGGCCCTCACACAAATCAAATGAGATTTGTGTGGCGCATATATATTTAGTGCCTCCTTGTACCAATATTTATGTGTTTAAATAAATAAATAATGTATATCAATTCAAGCGGTTACTATTTTCTCCAAATGATTTATTCTTTTTATGATAATAATGGTTTAAATTGTTTATAAATTTATGGGATTTGGCGTAGTATTTGATTTATCTTTTATTTAATAAATTGCTAGGCGGGATCGTGGATGCGCACTGCCACTGAGGAGTCTCACAATAGGACTAAACGGCCGTCCAGTGCTTTTAGGTTTTCCACGGTGGTCTAGCTTCACTTGACACATGATTTCAACTATATATAAAAAATCGTTATTTCTCAAGTGAACATCTCATTGGCATTAGGGCACAACTTCTGAGGTGAAAGATTCAAACAGTTGTTGAATGCAAAAACACAACCACTGTATCTGCAAACTGATAATGCATCAAATGTTTCATAGTATAAAATGGATCATAATTTAACTGTTTTTTTGGTATTGAAAAACTTCTCATCTATCTCTCACCTAGTAAAATATATACATATATATGTCGATGTCTCATAAAGAATGACTTCTGACCTAAATAATATGATATTAGTATGTTTAAACTTATCGTGATTAAACCAAAGTTAGTTTACTTTGTTTCTGATGTTTTATTCAGACTTGTATGGGTTCAATTTGGTTGTTTATTATTTGAAGAAGAAATTACTTCCATGAATCTGGTGTTCATCTTGTTGTGCTAATGAGGTATGGCAACTTGGACCGATGCATATATGTGCCTGGTCCTACGTTGTAGCTGACTGACTGACTGAAGAAGAAACTTACACTAAACTGCAAAGTATTGTTTGTTTGAATCTTCCCATTGATATTTTAGGACTGCAACTGGTCAGTCTCTAATTGACATATGTGCATACTGTGCGCATTGCCTCGATATAGTCATATTTCACAAGCATTGTAAGCAAAGATGGATAGTGGTTAACAGTGGAATCTAGGACACGCTTTTCGTCCTATTTGGGGCTCGTCAGCTGGATGTACCTGAATCTCAGAGTTGATGTTCACTTTGGAACTCGAACCCTAACTTTAGTATTAGTCGCTTGCTGGTTCATTAAACAATACTTTAGCTTTAAGGAGAGTCTCACCCTAAGCATTCTTCAATTATCACTTGGCGTATTCAAGTTACTCTACTTTTCTATTACCAATAATACTATGAATACCATTACTACTCTAGGATTTGGCTTGATAATTTCGTCTCATTGTACTACTAGGGGTGTGCGACTTGAACTGATGCATAGATCTGACAAGCCCTGCACTAACTGACTTGGATTAATTGAATAATTGTTTAATCTATTGATATAATTACTGAATATTTAAGTGTTAATGTTTAAGAGGACTGGAATAGATTATTGTATACCTTATCTTATGACAACCCGAAATTCATATCAGTAAAGGAAATGTCATGCACTTTATTTTGCCTCATATTCTGAACAAATGATTTTTATTGACTCATTGATTTCTTATTGTTAGTTCCGTCTTCTGTTCAACTGGTATTCAGCGTGACTTGAGCTTGCGTATTTTTTTTTAAAGACCACATGTTACATCAGTCAGTCAATCAGTCATTCAATCAAGAGTCTTATAGATGATAATGTAATGGTAAATAGTTTGTACATGTGACAACTATCGTTTAATAGAACCAACTTTGTATAAAACCATGATTAAGTTTTAAATTCTATATTGTTCATGGTATTGAATTGTCAATACCGCCATAGGAACATTTCTAGTATACTGGTGTGTAACTCCATATCCAATCATACATGTTCATTACGAACACAAAATGGATCATGTTTGTTGCCATGTAATTGAAATTTTTACGAGATAAAACAATTACTTATCATTATACGAACACTTGTAATAACATAGATATCTCAGAAGGGGTTTTGTGTGGATATTTCAGTATTTTCATAGTTGAAATCATTAGTCAATTGAAGCTAGACCACCATGGAAAACCGTCCAGTGCTTCCAGGTTTTCTATGGTGGTCTAGCTTAAATTGGCTCATGATTTTAACTATGATAATAGATATCTGTTTAAGAGAATGATTTTCCTGTTTTTGATATTCAGGATCTCAACTTATCAGTCTCCATTACCACATATACATATATTATATAGGGATTAATTTTAGGAAAGTTGATTGATTGCCAGTACTGGAATACAGAACATGCGTTTCATTCTATTTGAGACTCTCGTCAGCTGGATTCAATCACATTTCAGTGTTTATGTTTACTGTAGGATACGTTTGACATTTGAAGTAATATGTACTGTGGTCGAGTCTTGTTGTGAACACATCACAGATCTAAATTCATCTAGTTAACGGATCTACAACATGACCAAATGGGAGTTCTGGATTCTACAGCTAGCCATAATCTAATTTTAGCAAATATCTATTTCTTTTTGTAAATGCTTACTTTTCATCATTGTTCAATGAAATAATATATTATGCTTTCTCTGTTTTCAGGTGTCTTGGTTGTGTCATGGTATCCAAAGGGTATGTCAGATGATAATGGAAAACCTGTGGATGATATGATATTCCCACTATTAAACATAGCTAATAAATATAATATAAAAGTATGTGATTAGTTTGCAGAGATAACCGCTTATATTGAACGCAATCAGTTATTTTTTTTTTATATAAAGCAAATCCTAGTCTATCTTCATTACATTAGAAGTTCTATTTATTTATTAGATTGTTGAAGATGATCAATAAGGAATTAAAGACCTAGATTTCATGCTTTTCGGCACTTATCACGAAAGTAATCTTGTTACTTTAAGTGAACTGCTGCTTCATGTTGAAATAAATTTCATATCATCCAGCTTTGCAGTCAAAAATGTAACCACTAAGCTATATAGTCTGTGACTGAACTATAGGACTCGTATATTCGTAGTTGATTAAACAATAAGTAGTGTCTAACTTGTGTTGGCCTATCAAGTTCTTTTGATTGCTTCCTACATTATATAAAATGTTGATCAGTATTCAGTATTTTGATGTATGATATATTTCAACTGGATATAGCAAGTAAGCAGGACTAACGGGATTACTAGTTGGTTCGTACCTGGTTCGTACCATCTTCTTATGTAAACTATAAGAGTTCTTGTTTAACACGAAAATTTAATTTTGACTTTAAAATTTTCTTTTTATTATCGAAACAATCACTAAACATGATCTTTATTTTGGTATTCTACAAACACAAATATGGTTCGAAAATTTATTCACTATTGCTGGGCTATAATGATGTAAAAGGGTTTGAATAAACGTGCTTCATATATTCCTGTAGCTTTGAAAATGTATTACACTTATTTGTTTGAATTGTAGATGCTCACCAGCCGGTTCAATGGTCTATCGATTAAGTGCTGTGGCGCGAGGCGGGATCGTGGATGCGCACTGTTGAGGAGTCCCACAATGGGACGAAACGGCCATCCAGTGCTTCCAGGTTTCTAATGGTAGTCTAGTTTCGATCGACTCATGAATTCAATTGTTAAAGTTTTATATAATTGTTTGTAGGCTTTCAATTCCACATTTTGTTTAACCCGTTGACGTTTTTTTGGAATAAGAATAAGAATAATTATAATTTGCAGGATTATTCCTCATGTTCATTCCAAAGACTTTGTCCATTCTTTTAAAAGAAGGACAATCGATACTGGTCAAAATAAACCTCAGATAAGTAAATGTAGTGACATTGTAGTTGAGGGACACTCAAGTGGGGAAGACCAGTTTATTTTTTTACTGAACAATCACACAGTTGTTTAGTAAAATGTAAAAATCATACTTCAAATTCATCATTCGAACATCTTTGTATTTTCTTTTACAAGCTTCATTAGTCCTTCATTCCTATTGTTTTCTTGATTGCTTTCAGTTTCTTTCTCTCTTCTCTTCATTTCTATCTTCTCGCAGACATCCCATTTTCGACTGGTGTCACATACTACTTATGTTTGCGAAAATACGTAGCATACAGCACAATAGTATCTGTAGCAGTAGAAAAAACATTAGATATAAATAACATGCTTTGTTAAAGGAAAAATGAATTCATGGAAACAATCTTATAAAATTTAAGATCTAATGTAAGACAAAGAGTGAATATACTTGCACCATTGCGATCGATTCTGGACTCTGTCTTTAGAAGTTTCCAATTGATAACGAGTAGCTATAGAGCATAAAAAGTATTATAATCGAATAATTTTCCGGTCTTCAAGTGAAAATGTTGATTATTCGTGGATGAGAATCCAGTATACTCTTTTCGTCCTGTAACTTGTAACTTGTCAGTTGAATCTTATATCAACATTGAATACAAATACATTCAATTCATTTATGGCGTAGGCGAGATATCCGTCTAGCAACCAAAGGAAGGGTTTACTGCACAACATTTCGTTCCGTCCTACTTTATGGCAGTGAAACATGGCCGGTAAGAGTATAGGATATTCGTAGGCTACTCATATTCGATCATAAGTGTCTTCGAAGCATGGCTCGTATATCCTGGGACCATCGAGTAAGTAATGTAGTTGTTAGGAAACCGGTTCTAGGTAAGGATGGAAAATCGATTGATGAAGTAGTGAAACTTGATCATTTGATATGTCTGGGATACGTGTTACGTATGCACAACCACCGACTGCCCCGACGTGCAATGTTTTATGTTGTAGGAGTAGATTGGTAGAAAGCTAGGGTCGGCCAGACCAAAACGTGACACAAATCCATGAAGTCACTCACTGACAAGTGGACTGAACCATGTTGGTAGGTGTAGACTACCTGGTTGGGATTCACGACATGATAACAACCTATAGTTAAAGATCCTGAATGACATGACTCAAAGTCGTTTGCAATGGCGAAGGTGCATCCACGGTTTGTGATTTGCCAAGTTCTAGTCTGAATTCTTCATGTCCCTATTTTTTTTCTCTTTCCAAATTTATTTCACCAAATTATACTCCTTGAATAACATCTTCAAACCTTAATCTTTCCAATTACTGCTTATACTCTAACTACTTCTACCACTATGGGATTTGAATCGACAACTATATATCTGTGTTAATGTGGTATGGCAGTTCGAACATACGTTCATACGTACGAAGTTCTATGTTGTGACTGACTGACATTCAACTGATGAGCCTTATCAGAAGGGGGTTTCATGGAAATTTTAGTAATTTTATATAGTTGAGATCATGAATCAATTGAAGCTAGACCACCATGGAAAACCTGAAAGCACTGGACAGCCGTTTCGTCCTGTTGTGGGACTCCTCAATGGCAGCACGCATTCATGATCCCGTCTCGCGAGATTCAAACCCAGAACTTACCACTCTCACGCCAGAGCACTTAGCGCGATAGACCACTGAGCCAGTGATAAGCCTTAAGTAGGATGAAATTCGATTGTAAGCCATTGACTATTGTTTTTTTTTCATCTCATTTCAATTTTAATTTTTATCGTATTATTCTAAACACAATCAAATCAAACAAAACAATAAATAGAGAATATTTGCAAACAATCTCAATGGGGCGTTTACCATTCGCGTTACTATTCATTTTTTATATGATTCAATTACAAAATGTTTGCTCATTACTATTTTTTTTTGTTTTTTTGTTATGTTCTTATCAACAATGAAAAGAAATAAACATTGATAATTGAAATTCGTTCAACGACTATTAGGCACATTCCCACACACATGCACACATACACACACACACACACACTCCCTTTTCAACATGGGATGAATGACAATAATGTTTTAATGATGAAATGTAAACAAAATCTGTCAATGAAACATTTGATCATTTTTTTTTAATTTTCGTTAAAAAGGAACAATAAATGGTATAATGAATCAATAAATTTCTATTTAGTAACTATGGTAACTTGAATCAATTAATTATCTATCTATAACATACAATGGTAATCTGTACGAACTTATTCATTAGAAAAAGAAACAAAAAAGAAAAGAAAATAATAATGATGTAGTGAATGAGAACATAGATGTGAGAATTATTGAATGTACTTGGCATACGAAAATTACAGAACCTCTTATGAAAAATATGAGAACTATATAGTAAATATAAGAAAAGATGGATAGTGGCTAAAAGTGGAATCCAGGACACGCGTTTCGTCCTATTTGGGACTCGTCAGTTGGATGTACCTGCATCTCAGAGTTGATGTTCACTCTGGGACTCGAACCCAGTACTATTCACTTCAAATGCCATCGCGTTATCCACTCGGCCACTGAGTCCTGATAGCCACTTGCTTGTGCGATGGGGTGAATTTTAAGTTCATTTGGTATTGTTTGTTTGTATCTTCCCATCGATGTGTTAGGACTGCAACTGATCAGTCTCTAATTGGCATATGTGCATACTGTGCTTTGGGAAGATTAAAAAAAAACAATACCAAATGAATTTATATAGTAAATACTTCATTTGGAAAATGTCAATTTATTGTCTGAGATTTCACTATTCCTTTATTTCTATAGTAAACATACTCTTTTCTTGTTCTGTTTTCTTTGATTTTCTTAATCTTCTGCCACTAGGTATTTTACTTTTGATTGATGATATATACTACTTATATATGTCGAAATCAGTAACACACACACACTATTAGATCGGATAAAATACACAGTAAAATAAAAGATAAGAAATGAAATAAAATGATACAATTACTTATATAAATAGAACTTTGAATGATATATATATCTTCGCCTGTAGTACCTCCTGGGGCTACTTCCGGTCCCAAGCCCGGGTAAAGGAGGAGGTTTGGGCATAGGGTTAGCGACCCCATCACGTAGAAAACCAACTCACTAAAGAAAAGCTAACCAGAAAAATTATTCAATTGCACATTTTAACGAGATAAAATAATATTTAATAGTACTAGTCTGAAATGACCGATTTTAATGATGAATAATATAAATACATATAAACAATGGAATGATATGAAAATAAGACAAATCTATATATGTTTAGTAAATATTTTGCCTTGTCTGAAGGTTAGTCAATCACCTATATACCTACATTTTGAATATATCAATTGTAATACAAAATGTTATCTATATATTCATACCGCAGAGGCTGTTCTGGACTTAAGTGGCTGGGCTAGGTAGGAATCAGGGTCGACAATTACTCTAGATTGCTCATATGGGTCTTGTGTGTCATTGGTCCGTTCAATAATCCAAATCACAAGTTATAACATTAATGGTTGCAGATTCTGGGTAACATATTACTTAGAATCGATGATAATGACGTAGATATAAACACTCTTTGTCTTTCGTTCAAATTGCCTTATACCTTTCTTTCTATGAATTAATTCTTTCTTCCTGTATTATATTCTTCTACACAATCTTTCTTTCATATATTACTACTATTGAAATAACTACTTCTATGAATTCGTTGATCATTTTGTTGTGCTAATGAAGTGTAGCAACTTGAACCAATACATATATATACCTGGTCTTACACTGTAGTTAACTGACCGGTTTACTCAAATCAATATGTATACATATATTCAATCATATTATAAACCACGTTTATCATACCATCTACATTCATTTTATAAGATTGTCATATAGATGTTTGTGGTAAACAAAATGTTTATTTTCAACAACCCTATTTGAATGACCTTTCAAAATATTCGGTAAACAATGAAATTGTAACAATATTTTATCATTTATGTTTTTGTGTTATATTATTATCATACTTTACCATGAGTATAATAGTAAACTATATAAATTTATATGATCTCAGTAGCTGAGTGGATAACGCGATGGCATTTGACATGAAAGGTACTGGGTTCGAGTCCGAGATTGAACATCAGGTCTGAGATGCAGGTACATTCAACTGACAAGTCTCAAATGGGATGAAACTCGCGTCAAACTGGATTCCACTGCTAGCTATATTTATATATATTTGGATTTATTTTTAAATTAGGATTGTTACTTTATATGGATTTCGAAAAAGATCTTTGTTTTCAATGAAAAAAGTAAACATTATTTTTTCTTTTTTTTCGATAATGCAAATGAAAAAACCAAGTTTATCAGAATTATGTAATATATATATATATATATCATAGTGAACAAGAATACGGCAGCGGACAATCGAATGTATTTAAGCACATATTACAAACTATCTCACTAAATTCTGATAACCATTCATTGAACAGTTAATTTGTAAACCATCAATCAGTTGTCTCAATCTTGACTGTTTCTTTTGCTAATATCAGTCCGTCGTCTCTCATTTCATTGTTCATGCATTTTCATACCGATTGCATTTCATTTCAGTTCTTTCTTTATCGATCTTCTGCCAAAATACATTCTATGTCTGATCATCAACATATATTACTTATATGGATATAAGTAGCCCACACCACAATATATTTGTGCATTACATTTGGAACAATCTGATCACACATAATATACTTGTTAAAAACATTTTTATATGAAAATTAAAACGTTAGCTGGACAGAGATTGATAGTGGCTTGCAGTGGAATCCAGGACTCGTGTTTCGTCCTATTTGGGACTCGTCAGTTGGATGTACCTGCATCTCGTAGTTGATGTTCACTATGGGACTCAAACCCAGCCATTGCGTTATCCACTTAGCTATTGAGTCATAATAGCCATTTAGTTGTGCAATGCGCTGAAGTTATATTCACTTGGTGTTGTATACTTGTATCTTCCCATTGTTATTTCGGACTGCAATTGAAGCGAACGGTACTGCGTTCGAGTCCCAGAGTGAACATCAACTCTGAGATGCAGGTACATCTGGCTAACTAGTCCCAAATAGGACGAAACGCCTGTCCTGGATTCTACTACTAGCCACTATCCATCTTTGCGTATAATGCACATATGGCCAACAAGAGACTGTTCAATTGCAGTTTTAAATAACAATGGTAAGATACAAGTTTACAACACCAAGTCAAGTAGACAGGTTAAGGGTAATTCCTAACAAAGAAAAAAAAAGTACATAAAAACAATGTGTTAACCAATCTAGATAATAAATCAGTATAACCAGGGTAGGTGAAAGGTATTCTATTACGCAAGTATATCATGAAATTCTGATAAGCCTCTTCTCACTGCATTACGGAGGTTTATCAAAAGGGGGACTATTTGTTTTCTTTTATATTGCATTTACACTTTTTGTTTACCCAGAATACATTTCATTATTTGATCCAATCACTAATGTACTTTATTTAGTTGAATTGTTTGGTTCACCTCTTTTTGTTATATTGAATAAGTTCATATAGATTCTTCTTCTTATTATTATTATATAAATAAGGTATATTGGTTGTCATAGATTTCAAATAAAGCATTTGCCTAATTCATAATTGTATATTGTGTAAATATGATTATAAGTAGTATTATTGAATTCAATTTCAAAAACAAAATTTGATCAATCTTAACTGACATATTCTCATACTATAACATTTTCATCACAGATGTCTTAAAAATATTGCTCTCATCTGCTGGGATCACCAGGTAAGTAATAGTGTTGTTATACATAGGGTATTAGGGGATGATGGTAAACCAGTTGATAAGGTCATGAATCTTCATCGACTGAGATGGTTGGGCCACGTGATACGTATGCCTGAACACCACCGATTACCACGACACGCTATGCTGACAAGTGTTGGTGATAGTTGAAAGAGAGTTAAGAGTGGCCAAACCAAAACGTGGCATCAGTGCTTGAAGTCACTAACTTCTAGTCTAAACCATGTTGGCAGACGCAGACTACTTGGTTTGGGTCCGCGTAACTATGGTAACCAGTGGTTGGAAACTCTGTATGACATGACTCAGAATCAATCACAATGGCGTAGGTGTATACAGTCTTTGTCTTCCCTTAAACTATGGAGATTAAAATTGCTTCATATCTGTCTTCCTTCTTTCTGTAGTATATCCTTATTTACAACCTTTCTTTTATATATTACCACCATTAAATTAACTACTTCTATGAATCTGGTGTTCATCTTGTTGTGCTAATGAGTGAAGTATGGCAACTTGGACCAATGCATAAATGTGCGTGGTTCTACGTTGTAGATGACTGACTGCATCAATATAACCATTATAGTAGCGTCGATGGAACATGGATAACAACGGAATCCATAATGTATGTTTCAATCATGATTGATTGAATTACATTGAAAATATAACAATCAGATAGTCGAATCCATACCAAATTGAGTTAATACTCAAACCTGTTACACAAACGAGTGGCTATTCAGACTCAGTAAGTAGAATGGAAAACGGGATGGTGTTTGAAGTGAAATAAACTGAGTTTGAGTTTGAGAGTAAAAATCAAATCTGAGATGTAAATTTAGTCAAATAAACAGTCTCATGTAGAACGAAACTGGAATCCTGAATTTCAATGCTGGTTATATTTCATCTCTTCTAAATTTAGTTTGATGTCTCACTCAGTTCTATTCATATGATTCCTACATCGTTATTACTATTGTTATTTATGTAGTGTTGAATGTATGTAATTTTTATTTATTTAAACACATAAATATTGGTACAATGAAGCACCAGATACATATGCGGCACACAAATCTCATTTGATTTGTGTGAAAACTGTGATACTACCCAGGTGTCAAAACTGAACCAGGTGGTTTCCTAAGGGTGCCACACCCAGAGTCTTTGACCTAAAGGTCTAATCCACAAAGCAGTGGAGCAACGTGAGAAGATGCAGTCCCATGGTAGACGAACCCCAACGATTGATTCATACGCCATTTGTTCTTTCAGGATACTGGAGCTAGCCCATGTGCACCATTGGTTTGGAATCAGGGTTTTCCAACTCTCCTAGGTGGACTTTTGGTGTCCACCAACCCGGTTAAAGCGTTGGACATTCGCTTTTCGTTCTCTCAATTTCGTAAACAACACCCCTGGTGTGAGAAGGCATTGAGTAGGACTTCCCTGGTAGAGGCATTTTAAGCGTAGCGATGTGAGAGCATTCGGAGAGGGAGAGTGAACTCTCCCCACTCTCGGTCGTACCATGGCACTTGGGTATGTAATAATCGTTATATAATTCAAAGGAATGAATAAATGTAATTCATTCGTTTCGCTTTTTATTTGCCAATACAAACAAAACAGCAGATATAAAGTTTAATTACTTTTTCCTCAATAATGACAGAATGAATTTTGAAACTAGTATAGTGAAGTTGTTATGTTAAGCCCATATAACTTATTCTAGGTTCTAGACAGGCCAATTTATTCATTTTTCTGTAGTCACATTTTAACCTTGTTTATTATTCACTTATCAACTCTAACTGTTTTTATATGGGTGTATGCGTGCGCACTTCTTATTCCATTCATTACATGTCTGTAGCTTATTGTCGTGTGACTAAAAATATTGATTAACCGTTGATTAAATAAAGTTGTCTCACACTCCTTCTCCACTGTCCGTCATTTCGTATCGCTCTATTCTCTTTGCTTCATTTCTCTGATTGTCTGTTCAAATCGATGAGTATAGAAAATATACGCATTCAAGTATCCATTCTCTTATTTTACTTAATTCCGTTATTTACCAACTCGACTTAAGTCGATATGAGGATAGCCAGGATGTATATTTTGACAACAATCATTAATACGATCTAATTAGAGTCAGATCCCAGGGCCATTAAAGTAGTAAAATTCACAAATATAATGAAATATATTACAATGCCTATTGATAAATGACATCTAGTGACGTCCGATTAGCGTTTCATGTCGATCCAATATTTTGTTGCACAATCACAGACTAAAATTTTCTGTCTTTATTGCAGTACTACTGTAGCGATAGTATGTGGTCTCTATTTGACTACTACCTTCTTCTATCAATTATTCAACCTTCAATTCATTATAAAAGCCCACCATTATATCTTAAATTGTATCAATAATTTGAGACTGCGATTCCGGAGCAATTGGGTACTTTAATATTTTTACCATCTTAACTTTACTACTTTAATAACTCATCAGTAGTTGCTCGAGTTTTCATCAAATAACCAAAAGTAAATGAATGAGTTTCATGCTAATCTCTTCCTTATTCACTAGATTTGTTTACATTTGGAACCATATAAAAATCGTGATGACAGTACAATCGTTTCAGATTTAAAGTATATTTATGAAAAAGGATACACTTCTCATCCAGCTTATTATCATATTTTTACTAATCAATCTGATGGTGGTAAATTATTACCCGTAGTGTACGTGTATGATTCTTATACAATAGAACCATCAAAATGGAAGAAAGTGAGTCGTATAATGTATATATATATATATAATATTTATTTTAACCCATAGACTATTACTGTGCGATATACCCAGTCTATTGATTACTGTTCCCCTATTCACAGCCACATTTGGCCAAATCTTGTACAAATGTTGTTTTCCTATTTTATGGTCCGAAGTGGTCTGTCTGGTTGGTATTTAAACCCATTATGTTTGACAATAATGATTCATATTGCAGAGGTGGTTATTGGTGTTCTGGACTTAACTGACTGGGCATGACAGATAGCAGGACCGACAAATGCTCTAGACTGCACGTACCGGCATCGTGTGTCATTGATCCGATTGATAATTCACTGCTCTCTAATTGGCGGGAATCATCACCTCATATATTAATAGGGCATACAGACAGGCGATCGATATAACAATAACTCTCAGCTTTATTCTGTGTATAAAACCTTTCTTCAACATTAACTTAATTTTTTCATTTGATATACAAGACATATGTAGAACTAGTTATACCTTGAATCTCTGGAAGCAATAAAATGAGATCCGTGCCAATGTATTCTACCATAATGAAAAACATAGCCAGTATTTACTTTATGGTCAGTGGGAAAATCAATCTCTTAGACAAAGGAATCATAACAAATATTCAGAAGGGGTTTTGTGGAGAATTCGATATTTTTCATAGTTGAATTCATGAGTCGAGTAAAGTTAGACCACCATGAAAAACCTGGACTGGTAGGTCCTGGATTCAAATCTCGCTAGGTGGTATCGTGGATGCGCACTGTTGACGAGTCCCACAATAAGACGAAACGGCCTCCAGTGCTTTCAAGTTTTTCATGGTGGTCTAGCTTCAATTGACTCATGATTTCAACTATGAAACATAACAAATTTATTATAGCAAGTAACACTAATCGGTTCAAGTCAACATCAATAGTTTAAACACGGTGATTCAATAGTATGTTATAAGTTCGACATAAATGACATTTCAATGAGTAGCATATAATAAGAAAATAAACGATAGGCGAAATAAGAATATCAATATGATTAGAAAAATGAATTAAGTTATCGAAATGAAGATAAATAGATCTTTGTAATAAAGGGATATCATTTAGTGAAACTGTTACGTCTGGCCGATTGTGAACGCTATATTCGCTTCCCTAAGTTAGTTCCGTATCCCCGACTTGAAGACCAGAGAAAAGGCACTATGTGTGAGGGAAGCACTTTACTACAGGGTCCATTATGTACATAAAATATGGGGATTTTATAGTAATTTAAGAGTTCTTGAGTTTTTACTGAAAGTTCTAGAATACTGCTAAACACAGTAGCAGTGTATAAATCAACCAATCAGGATCTCCACATGTGACTTTTCCATTTTCGTTATTTTAGTAACATAACTTCACATAATTTCTAATTAATCGCTGATTGATTGAAATGCTCCTTGATGACCCCTGAGCTTATCATGTCCCTTGCGAGAAGAATGCAGGGTCATCCCAACAGAAACACAGAAAACATTCCGAACTAATTATATTCACAATTATATTAATAAGAGACTGACCAGTTGCAGTCCTAACACATCGATGGGAAGATTCAAACAAACAATACCAAATGAACTTAAAATTCACCCCATCGCACAAGCAAGTGGCTATCAGGACTCAGTGGCCGAGTGGATAACGCGATGGCATTTGAAGTGAATAGTACTGAGTTTGAGTCCCAGAGTAAACATCAACTCTGAGATGCAGGTACATCCATCTAACGAGTCCCAAATAGGACGAAACGCGTGTCCTGGATTCCACTTCTAGCCACTATCCGCCTTTGCTTATAAAGTTCTTATCTCAACTTCAATTCAAACCAATTTTTTTTGAAAATGCTTGGTTCGTAAATTCGCCACTATAACGTGGTTAGTATTGAGTGACCATTTGTGTGCACAGACTTCCTTATATTTATCATAGTTAAACACATTGTACGATTTTTTTATAGATGTGTATGTGTATTTTATGCATTATCTATTGTCATACGTAAGTTACTATACATTTAATTAAGTTTCTTTGGCTAAAAATCGTTTAAGTCCACGGTGCATTCATCTGTCTATTCTCGTCGTGCGTCCACCAAATAGTATATGTGAATTATATATGCATCTTTAACACTATCCTGTTCATATGGACATGATCAGTCGAGGGCATATAGACAAAATAAACACGGACATCTATTACACTTATAAATATTAATTCATCTTCATTATATGTTGGAATCAACTAGGAATCACAAAAGTAGCTAATTGACATGCTTAAAAATCTCGAATATTACACAGATATGATTTACATCAGTAAAGGGCCCAAATCAATCATGTTTAGAAGTTAAACCACGTAATAATTACCTACGGAACTGACAGTTTTTATAGGATAAAGACTAGAGGTTAAGCGTTCGCGCGTTATATTACAGGTCCTGGGTTTGAATGGCGCGAGCAGGATCTTGGATGTGCATTTCTGAAGTGTTCGACATTAAGATGAAACGGTCAATCAGTGCTTCCAAGTTTTCTATTTTAGTCTAGCTTTAATGTACTCATGAATTCAAATATTTAATAAAGATATTAATTCATTTAATATAAAATAATTTATTCCTTTATTTATTTAAACACATAAATATCGGTGCAAAGGAGAACTAGACACATATGCGCCACACAAATCTTATTTGATTTGTATGAAAGCTGGGATACTGCCTAGGTACCCAAACTGAAGCAGGCGGTTTTCTTAGGGGGCCACACACCGAGCCTTTGATCTAAAGGTCTGACCCACAAGGCAGTAGAGCATCGTGAGGAGATGTAGTCCCATGGTAGCCGGTGACCAACGATTGATTCATACACCATTTGTTCCTTCAGGATACTGGAATCCATGTGCACCATTGATTTTGAATTTTGACCCTCCGTGTCAACCAACCCGGTTAAAGCGTTGGACATTCGCTTTTCGTCCTCTCAATTTCGTTAACACTACCCCCGCCATGAGAAGGCAGTTAGTAGGACGTCTATGGCAGAGGCTATATATTCGCGTGTCCATGTGAGAGCATTTGAAAAGGGAGAGTGAACTCTACCCACTTTCGGCCGTATCAGGGCATTTGGGGGCCTAAATTTTCAAGGTTATTTAATTCAGTAAATACTTCAGTCATATTATTAACCATTATTTAACTATATCTAATGATCAGTATTTCATTGACTGTTCGAATCATGTACTGTTTATTATGTATTAAGATTCTTCAAACAAATGATGACGAAACAACTATACGAAATAAAAATTATAATGTACATATAATTGGTTTATTACTTGAAATTAATGATTGTCGTGTATTATATGAATCAGGATTTAATGGTGGTTATACTTATTTTGTTGGTCATGGAATATCAAAAGCCAGGTAAATCTATAATCTAACTATATTTTCATTTATTGTGTACGTTTCATTCATTCCTTCGTTTTTTTTTGTATATGTAAATTAGTCAGTCAGGTACAACGTAAAACTAGGCACATTTATGCATCGGTCCAAGTTGCCATACTTCACTCATTAGCAGAACAAGATGAACACCGGATTCATAGTAGTTAATTTAGTGGTGGTGGTAGTATATAAATTATAGGTTGTATATAAGGATATGGTATAGGAAGGAAAAAAGTTATGAAGCAATTTTAATCTCATGGTTTAAGGGAAGATAAAGAGTGTATACACCTACGCCATTGTGATCGATTCTGAGCCATGTCACCTAGAGTCTCCAACCATTGGTTACGATAGTTACGCGGATCCCAACCAAATAGTCTGCATCTACCAACATGGTTTAGACTAGAAGTTAGTGACTTCAAGCACTGATGCCACGTTTTGGTTTGGCCACTCTTAACTCTCTTTCAACTATCACCAACACTAGTTAGCATAGCGTGTCGTGGTAATCGATGGTGTTCAGGCATACGTATCACGTGGCCCAACCATCTCAGTTGATGAAGATTCATGACCTGATCAACTGATTTACTATCATTCCTTAATACCCTGAGTCTAACCTCACTATTACTTACCTCTAACAGCACCTCACTGTGTGTGTAAATAATGAATTACGTAACAATCAAAATGTTGATTCTCATTTATCTATAATCAAAAAGTATTTCTTTTCTTTTATATTGAAGAATAAATACGTTTTTATGTTTGAAGATAACCTTTAACATTTTTTGAGAATTTCCTCGTACATACAGTTTATCTGTGCTGCATATAAGAGAGTAACTTTGTTTTTACTGGGGTTTTCATTCTAATCATTCAATTAAACCTACCTATTTTTCTGAACATAAAGATATATAAAGAGGCTCAAAATGGATATTGCGCTACATAAATCTTTCGATTTGTGTGAGGGCTGGGATGCTGTCTGGGTGCCCAAACTGAAGTAGATGGTCTTCTTATGAGGGCCACATCCGGAACCTTTGACTTAGATGTCTGATCCGCAAGGAAGTGGGACAACGTAAGCAGATGCAGTCCCATGGTAGCCGGTGACCAACGATTGATTTATGCTTCATTTGTACGCTCAGGATCCTGGAGCCTATATGCACCATTGGTTTGGAATCAGGGTTTTCCAACTCTCCTAGGTGGACTCGCCGCGTCCAGCAACCCGGTTAAAACGCCAGACATTCGCTTATGTCCTCCCATTTTCATAGACAGCACCCGTTGTACGACAAGGACCTCCCTGGCAATGACTGTATACGCATAGCCATTTGAGAGTATTTTGAGAGGGAGAGCTGACTCTCCTCATCCGTGATTGTACCAAGGTATTTGGGGGCAAAAATAATGAACAGCAAAATAGTAGATATAGCTTAAATATTAAACATTGAAAAGTAGACACGTTATAAATTCACTTAAAAGTATTCTGTCTCCATATTGTTACATGTTCTATGCGAAGAATTGATAAGCATATATCAGTCACCATACATCTAAGACATGGTAGATTATTATGTCTCTATATACTAAGCTTATTATGATTAGAAAACTCTTAGAAGAGGATATTCAGTCATGAAATATGATCGCCTAATGTTTTTATATAAAATCGTGAAAAGAATTTATTAAGCACATCGTCTGAAAGAAATCAAAAGGAATATTATTATTATTATTATTATTATTATTATTATTATTATTATTATTATTATTATTATTATTATTATTATTATAGTAATTCTGATAAATTGTAAAATCGATTTCAGTACCATGTATTGAAAATTGGACTTGATTTAAAGAGAAGTGTGTTAAAGACACATTTTAGTAAAACAAACAGTTGGAATTTGACTTCGAACTTAAAATTTTCTGTTTTGTATCTTACCACAATGTAATCAAACAACATACTTTCCAGATAATATATCTCCATTGAATCATTGTTATGAACATTGCTGGTATATCCTAGGATCACCGAGTAAGTAATGCAGTTGTTAGGAAATGGTTAATAGGTGAGGATGGCAAATCGATTGATAAAGTAGTAAAACTTCATCAGTTGAGATGTCTGGGATACGTGTTGCGTATGCACAACCACCGACTGCCCCGACGTGCAATGTTTTATAGTGTAGGAGTAGGTTGGAAGAAAGCTAGGGGTGGCCAGACCAAAACGTGGCACAAATCCATGAAGTCACTCACTGACAAGTGGACTGAGTCATGTTGGTAGGTGTAGACTACCTGGTTGGTATCCGCGAGATGATAGTAATCGATGATTAGAGACCTTGAATGACATGGCTCAAAATCGTTTGCAATGGCAAAGGTGCATCCACTCTTTGTGTTCTCTCAAATTGTAATCTTCTGAATTCTTCATGTCCCTATCGTTTTTTCTCTTTCCAAATTTATTTCACCAAATTATACTCCTTGAATAACATCTTCAAACCCTAATCTTTCGTATTAGTGCTTATGCTCTTACTACTTCAACGTACGTACCCTAAGTCAAATCGGTCAACAGGCCTGCCTGGTTAAGACCCTAGAATCTCGTAACATTGATATATGCTGTGTCTCCGAAACACGCATACAAGATCCCAGTGTGGTCATTTGCTTGACCTCACCCCACCAAAATGGACAGCCAACGAAATACACCTATGTGTATCTGGCGACCCTATGACTAGTTCTCGCGGACTTGCAGTGTAGGCATAGCACTTAGTACAAGGGCAGAACAAGCACTACTAGAATGGTCCCTGTTAACAGTCGCCTGTATGTTGTCCGGCTAGATAGTTCCGTAAGAACTCAGAAGGATAAGGACACACGTCGTTGCCTTTTCGTCGTTTCTGCCTACGCTCCCACTGCTTATCGGCGTCCGACAATGATAGATTTTCTTGACTTGAAAGCAGCATTTGACTCTGTAGACAGAGAGGTTCTGTGGCAGTGTCTATCATTGAAAGGTGTACCTGGGAAGTACATAAACTTTGTGAAGGCTCTTTACTCGAACACTACCTGTCGAGTGAGAGCTTATAGCGAACTGTCATCTGATTTTGCAATCTAAGGTGGTGTCCGACAAGACTGTCTACTATCCCCATTTTTGTTTAACTTCATTATAGACCTATCGCTGGAAATAACACTCTCTTCGACTGAATTTTCAGGGATTAATCTCCTACCAGGGGGTCCACTAATTGACTTAGAATACGCAGATGACATTGTCCTGTTTGGTGAAGACGCTGATAAGTTGCAGACTTCTGTTAGCACTGAGTAATAATGCCAGGATGTTTAGAATGCGTTTCTCCCCATCCAAATGTAAATTGTTACTCCAGGACTGGCCTGCGTCAACACCTGAACTAAGGATAGGAAGTGAAGGGACGAATATACTGCACAGCAGTTCGTTCTGTTCTACTTTACGGCTGTGAAACATGGCCATTAAGAGTAGAAGATACTCGTAGGTTACTAGTATTTGACCACAGATGCCTTAGAAATATTGCTCGCATCTGCTGGGATCATGGGGTAAATACTAGTGAGGTTAGACACAGGGTATTAGGGAATGATGGTAAATTAGTTGATGAGATCATGAATCTTCATCAACTGAGATGGTTAGGCCACGTGTTACGTATGCCTGAACACCGATTACTACTTATATGAATCCGGTGTTCATCTTGTTGTGTTAATGAGTGAGGTATGACAATTTGGACCGATGCACCTATGTGCCTGGTCCTACGTTGTAGCTGACTGACTGAGTTCTTCCACTATGGGATTTGAATAGACAACTGCGTCTCTGTGCTTAAATGGTATGGCAACTGGAACTGATGTACGTACGTACGTACGAAGTTCTACGTTGTGACTGACTGATGAAAATATTTTCCCTAATACGTTCTACTTTTCAACGGAAATCATTTATTTACCGTTAATGAAAGAGATTGAGAAAGTGAAATAAGAAAACGGTAGCATTCGTATGAACTAATATGTTTTATTAATATAACAGTAACTATGTAAACATTTTAGATAGAGAAGTTTTTTCATGTTCCATGTTATAACGGCATGAACACGAGATATTCCAATTATCCAAACCTCAAAAATGAACCTGAAAGTAAGCAATCAAGAAAGAAAGATTTAGGTAATTTGAAACAAGGGAACGGAGATTCAATATAAATAAAGACATTCAGACAGGTTAACTCACTTGTTCCATCATCAATCATTTCAGGTTCGGCTAATTCGACCATCTTAAGGTGAATGTGACTTATCAAGGCACAGATCACAATAATTTTGATCATAAGAGATTTTTGTGCTTGAATAAAATTCATGGCCATAGTGTTAAGTTGAATATTGGAACTTACAACTCCATATTTATAGACCACAGTTGTAGTTGAGTGTATATAGTTTTGGCCAATGAAAACAACTTGATAGAACACTTTGAATTTTATGCAATGTATGTTGGACAATATCGTTTAGCTAACCAACTGACTGAATCTATAAGTAGTAATATGTTATTTCAACATAGCACTGACATTTACTGAAGTCACTTACACTCTCAATAGGACAAATTGTCCATCATTTATGATATGTAAGATTGAGAGAAATGGACATGTATTACGTTTACATGATTGAGGATTTGGATTATTGATAAGTTTGGTGAAATACTGTATTCTTTTGTAATTGTGCGAGGAAATTCGTCTTGAAATTCGATTATCCGTAATCTCAAAAGTGTTTTTCATCGTATTCTAGAGATTTTCTTGTACATGTCGATCTAATATAAGGTATATTTACGCCCCCAAATACTCTGGTACGTCCGAGGGTGAGGAGAGTCCACTATCCTTCTCTAAATGCACTCATATGACCACGCTTACACAGCCACTGTCAGGGAAGTCCTACTATCTTCTATTCTCGCAGCGGGGAGTGTTGTTTACGAAATTGAGAAGACGAAAAGAGAATATCCGGTGCCTTAAACGGGTTGGTGGATATGGAGGATCTATCTAAGGGAGTTGGAAAACCCTGATTTTAAACCAATGGTGCACAAGGACTTCAGGATCCTGAAGGAACAAATGGGGTATCAACTAATTGTTGGTCACCAGTTATCATGTGATTACATCTGTTTACATTGCTCCACTGTCTTGCGGATTAGACCTCTAAGTCGAATGCTGCAGGTGTGATCCTCCAAGAAAACCATCTGCTTCGGTCTGGGCACCCTGGCACAAATCCATGAAGTCACTGACAAGTGGACTGAGTCATGTTGGTAGGTGTAGACTACGTGGTTGGGATCCGCGAGATGATAACAACCGATGGTAAGAAACCTTGAATGACATGGCTCAAAATCATTTGCAATGGCGAAGGTGCATCCACTCTTTGTGTTCTCTCAAATTGTAATCTTCTGAATTCTTCATGTCCCTATCGTTTTTTCTCTTTCCAAATTTATTTCACTAGATTATACTCCTTGAATAACATCTTCAAACCCTAATCTTTCGTATTAGTGCTTATACTCTTACTACTTCTACCATTATAGGATTTGAATAGTTAACTGCATCTCTGTGTTAATGTTTTATGTCACTTCGAACTGATGTACGTACGTACGTACGAAGCTTTACGTTATGACTGACTGACTGATAAACATTCATGTCTACTGTAACAATATGACAGATGTAGTCGGAAATAGTGTTGGATTTATGGAAATTATGTTATCTACTGAATTTGATTTTTTTTCTAATAAATAGAAGGTGTTTTGTGGAGATTTCAGTATTTTCATAGTTGAAATCATGAGTCAATTGAAGCTAGAGCACCATGAAAAATCTGGTTTCAAATCTTGCGAGTGAGGGATCGTGGTTGCGCACTGCCACTGAGGAGTCCCATAATAGGACGTAACGGCCGTCCAGTGCTTCCAGGTTTTCCATAGTAGTCCAGCTTCAATTGACTCATGATTGTTTAAAAATATGAATTATATCAATCAGCTTACCAAATTGTACTGCTCTTACCCTTATGCTTTCTTTATATATTCTTTATAAATATATATCATTTTGCAGCTCACCAGATATATGGAATAATTTATCAGAAGAATGTACAAAATATAATTTAACATTCTATCCTAGTACTGGTCCAGGTTATCATGATCTATCTGTACGTCCATGGAATACTGCGGCGATTGAATCCCGTGAATCTGGTTTAACATATGTAAACCTATTCACCAAGGGGATCAATGCAAAACCAACTGGCATAGGTATTGTATCATTTAATGAATGGCATGAAGGTACACAAATTGAATCAGCAATACCATTTAAATGGATTGGTTATTTAACAGAATCAAGAGTTTATATGGATTATTTACCTTATACTCCAGAGTTCTATCTACGTTTAACACGTTTACTTGTGAATAAATTTGAAAGTTTTACCACATTACCAAGAAAATTTAATGAAACAAATGATATTGAAATAGAACAGTTATATAAATTAATAAGACAATCATAATGAGTGAAGTATGGTAAACAAGACTAATGTGTATAGTATTTTTTTTCAGTATACTACTGATTAATAAATAAGTAGTGTAAATATCCATTTGTAAAATACATATGTATTTTTTTAATTGGTTGAACTTATAACACTTGGGTTGTTTGTGGAGATTTAGTATTTGCATAGTTGAAAGCATGAGGCGCGAGACTGGCAGGTCATGGGTTAGAATCTCGAGAGGCGAGGTCGTAGCTGAGAAGTCCCGCAATTGGACGTAACGGCCATACAGTGCTTCTAGGTTTTCCATGGTGGTCTAAGTTCAATTGACTCATGGTTTTAATTATAACTCTTGGTTTATTTTGTTGTTGTTAGTGACCTTCATCAGATTGGTCAATTTTAATAGTTCATATGAATTCCACTGTTGAATACTTTAGCACTGATTGAATCCTAACTATATTTTTAGCCTACTATAGTGGTAAGCTTCAAGTCATGTATTCGCATTGAGTTATAGTAAGAATAACAAGGTAATTACTTGAGTTGTAATATATTATTGTCCAAATGAGTCTTGAGAACAGAATGATTATAAGTTGATTTGTCTGGTTTCCTTTATTCCATTAATACTGTTACTAGTTATTGCTGACTTGATACCTTGCTATAGTGATTTGATGTGAAAACTTACACCAATTTATATATGTCAGACTGTACGTTGCTACCGGTTTTTGCTTCGTTATGAGAAACCAAAAAATAAAAAAAGTTAGTGTCATCTGGTTCTTTCAACTTTAGTGATCAATGAAAGACCTTCATATTTCACTTGATCTGAAGGTGATTCAGTTATTCACTCACAATACGCAGATGATATAGTTCTGTTTGGTGGAGACGCTAATAAAAGTTATCTGACCAACTTAAGCAACAATACAAGCATGTTTGGCATTCGGTTCTCTCCCTCCAAATGTAAGATGTCCCTTCAGGATTAGCTTGCGTCACGACCTGAATTAATGATGGGAAGTGAAGTAGTTGAACGCATAGACCACTTCACTTATCTTATGAGTACTGATGGTCTAGTGTCTGACGAAATCTCGACACAGACTTAGAATGCTCGATTGACTTTTGCCGACTTGTGGCTTAGGCCAGACATCCGTCTGTCAATCAAAAGGCATCGGTTCACCCCGTTGTCTTTTATGGGTGTGAAACATGGACATTAAGAATAAATGATATTTGTATGTTACTAATACTCAATCATAGGTGTGTTTGAAGCATCGCTCATGTATATCGGAACCACGGAGTAAGCAATGGCCCTAGTTAGGAATGAGTATTAGGTAAGAATGCAAAACCGATTAATGAGGTAATGAATTTTTATTAACTGAGGTGGTTGGGACATATGTTGCGTAAGCCTGACCACCACCTACCTCGATGGGTGTCGTTTCCTTGTACAGAAACAGGTTGAAAGATATCCAGGGGCGTTACATCAAGTTACTGGCTATTGGACTTAGGCTTGTTAATAGGCGCAGACTACCTGGTTGTGGTCGCAGTAATTATCGTAATCAATGGTTAGAGACTTTGGGTCAGTCTTTTGTAATGATGAGGAAGGAACGGAAACGAAACGCTATTGGTATGAAAATGGATGAGCACCAATAATCGGAGACGATGGACTGATATTTGCAGGAGGAACCGTCAAGATTGAGACAATTGGTTGATAGTTTACAAATTAACTGTTTACTGCATGGTTGTCAGATTTTAGTTAGATAAACCGTAATTTTCGTGTCAAATACATTCGATTGTCCCCACTCGTCTTCTTGTTCACTATAGTACTACCGTCTATATAAACAACGCCACTTCCGTATATATTTACTGAGATTGCGTTGTCAGAGCGAAATATTTGAATTGTGAAGTATCCATTATCGCTTTGGACAACTAAGTCAGCACCTTATTAGGGTAGATTTGATCATTTTATTTAAAATGCCACATCAATGTTTAATCAATAAACCAATCGACTCAAAGTCTATTGTGTTGATAATAGAGTAGTAAACACTTTCCCGAAGGGAATTAAGTTGTACTGTGAAAGAATTCTAAGGGAAAATACTTTAAAATCATGAAATGCAGTCAATCAATACCATCGCCTCGTGAATTAATCTGGAGTTAAGTAGATGCTTCAAGATGATTACCTACCACAACTAAGAAACCTGTTTATTATAGACGTTCGTGTATTTAACATTGAACGAACAATAGAAGGTTAATCTACATAAACACATACAGTGAATGTTATTAGTGTGAATGCCTTGAAGTATCATCAGTTTTGTTCAAATATAGATACGCAGTGCAAACTGTCAACATTGGAACTGATTTAAGAATGTGATCATTTGTCGATGACATGCTATAAACTAAAATATAATCTTAATCGATCAACGGATCACAATTTTCCAGTTAGCTTATCACTCATACTGTCAAATACGATAACCAGTCAATAACTATAGGAGATTTAGTTATTGAGAAAATTTTCTGAAAATCGAACGGTATTGTTTCTTAATAAAATATTACTAATTTCATTCTGAAATTAAAGATCCTATATCTATGGGTTTCTAGCAAACGACTATTTTTCAAGTTTCTTGGTTTAATCTCTAGTACCAGGTTCATGAATACAGACTGCTAGGGAGTTCCATACTAGGATGAAACAGCTATCTAGTTCTTCTATATTTTTAATAGCTGTTTAACTTAGATCAGTTCGTGATTTCAATAAGACAAACAGATTACAATACCATTTTTAAAACCAGGAGGTTGGGATTCGCGAGATGATAACAATCAATGGTTAGAAACCTTGAATGACATGACTCAAAATCGTTTACAATGGCGAAAGTGCATTCACTCTTCGTGTTCTCCAAAATCTTCCGAATTCTTCATGTCTCTTTTTTTCTCTTTTCAAATTTATTTCGTTGGATTATGCTCCTTCAATAACATCTTCAAACCCTTATCTTCCACATAATACTTATACTCTTACTACTTCTACCACTATGGGGTTTGAATAGACAACTGCATCTCTGTGCTAAAGTGACATAGCGACTCAAACTGATGTATGTACTTACGTACGAAGTTCTACGTTGTGACTGACTGACTTTAAAATAAGGAAATTCAGTTAGCTTTAACAATTTAACAACATATATATGTTGAATAGTAAAGAAGTCACTTATTCATATTATATTTTTTAGGTATGAAAGTTACATTGAAATAAATAAATAACTGTTGAGAAAACAAAGGATTAAATAGGAGGATACAAGAAATGAATCAATAGCTCAAACGAAATAGCTTTTGATGTGTTTTAGATTATAATCCGTCAATGAATGAACGTTGACACATGGGGTCCTTTATCATTACCCTGTAAATATAGAAATAAGAGAATGTATGTAAAAAAGGAGGTTGAAGTTGGCTATTCAATGAGCAAAATTTGTTCTTTACACAAAGTTCATTTAGGCTAACTGATGTGAATAGAGAAACAAGAAGCCTTGACAAACTACGGAAGTTATTTTTGGAGGAACGTTATTTCATTGAATTCAAAGCTTGTAAAACTGTAACGTTTAATTTTGCCCCTGGTCTATTGTACAGATCATAAGCTTTCGTTTGATCTATGGTTTCCTGACATAGCCTTTCCTATTTCAAAGCTATTGCAATTTAGACGTAACCTTTTGTACTCTATTTTCTACTCTAATCCCCCAGTTTTGAACATCCTAATTATTGTACGTAGTGGTCAGGTTAGTTATCTATTTATTCATGTATCTTTTTACACTAATCTGAATTCGGGTACCAGATCGGATTTGGAATAAAGCGAGTAGTGTTCCAGTTGTCTTGTTTTCTCTCTCGCGCGCGTGCTTGTCAGCCAATCAGGGATAAAATAGTTTTCGTCTCTATACCCTCGCTTCGAACTCACGCATACTAGCCTTAAGGTTAAGCCAGTTAGCCTATCGCGTCAAGGTCTTAATCTACGTTAGACAAGTTATCCTCGGCATGAAAGTGGGTCGACAGATTCAAGGACGTAACACTAACTTACACTTGTGTGCATAAATTTTTTGAGCTGAATCTTCACAGACTACAAAGTTGTAGCATTGAAAACCCAAACAAACTAATTTACTGTATTGTGGTATGTTGTGATTTACACTTATAAGAGTAATTTATTGGCATAATTTTACAACCACATGCACAAGCAGCAATGAATATTATGGATTTTGATTTAAAACTTAATGCCTAAACGTTTTGTATCAACAAAAACGACAAACGATTAGTAACCAATGTGTGATTCAATCAAGAAAATTATTGAATTAATGACAGTTGGATATTAACATCTAAAATAAATCCTGACATTTGATGCTTCATATCTCAATGTCTATCTCTCTTCAAAACGTACAAAATAACTAAACCAGAGATTAGTAATTACTGATACGAAAATCAGTCATTGATTTGGACATATATTTTCTACCTATCATAGTATCAATATTTGTACACACAGAGTATATAGCCTCTGCCAGGGAAGTTTTACTCACTGCCTTCTCATGGTGGGGATGTTGTTTACGAAATTGAGAGGAAGAAAAGCGAATATCCGGTGCTCTAACCAGGTTGGTGGATACGGAAAGTCCACTTAGGGGAGTTAGAAAACTCTGATTCAAAATTAATGGTGTACATGGGCTCCAGTATCCTGAGTGGACGAATGGCGTATGAAAAAATCGTTGGTCATCGGCTACCATGGCACTGCATCCCCCGACGTTGCTCCACTGCCTTGTGGACTAGACCTTTAGGTCAAAGGCTCTGGGTGTGGCCCCCTAAGAAAACCACCTGGTTCAGTTTGGGCACCTGGGCAGTATCACAGCCCTCACACAAATCAAATGAGATTTGTGAGGCGCATATATATCTGGTGCCCCTGTGTATCAATATTTTTGTGTTTAAATAAATAAGTTAATGATAAAAGTCCTAATCTCAGAATGGAGATCTTAATAAATTTATTGATCTCTTCTGCTCCATTGTTAATGAGTATCAAATAGGGCCTAATGTTTTCGATTTACTGACCGTTAAGTGATACAAACTGAGTTATAAGTATTGGTCAACTAAATTTCCAAACTTCTATACCAGTTATAATAATGTAATGAACTCGGTAAA